AGATCCCTACCAAGGACTTCCAGCACCCCAAAACCTCAGGGGCGGAGCTTCATGAGATCCCAACCAAGGACACGGACACGCCACCGGCACCGCCCTCCCCTCCAACCCCGACCCCACCCGTGGTTCAGAGCCATGCCTCCTTTACCATTGAGTTTGACGACTGCATGCCCGGCAAGATCAAAATCAAAGACCACGTCACCAAGTTCTCTACCCGCCAGAGGAAGCAGCAGGCTCCACCCACCAAGACCCCCATTGCATCAGCCACGCCTGCTGAGGTGATGTCAGCAGAGAGCAAGGTGGCTGATTGGCTGGTCCACAGTGATGTCAGCATGATGAGAAGACGTCCAACATGTGAAGATGTTTACAGCACCAAGAGTGACCTCGCCATGAACATCAAGACCCTCAAAGGTCAGAAACATTATAGGAGAATACCACTGTTACCTTTTTGTGTGGAGTTTGCATGTTCTCCTCGTGTCTGCATGGGTTTCCTCTTGGTGCTTCATTTTCCCACACCATTAAAACATGTATGTTAGGTAAATTCTGCAGTCAGTACCCTTGACCAAAGCACTGGCTCAGGTCTGGAGTTGGTTCCCGTGAGTTACACAGTGGTGGCCCACTGCTCCTAGTACTTAGGATGTGTCAAATAAAGAGAAATCAACTCCAAGGTTCATATTGAGTAACATAGAGAGATTTGATGTTTTTATTCTTGTTGTCAGGTCATCATCATGAGGATGGAACCCAGAGCGATTCTGAGGACCCAGTTCTCAAAGGAAGGAGGAGTAAATCCCACCACTCTGTCCAGTCTCAGCACTCGATCCAATCAGAGCAGTCTGAGGCCTCACAGCAGACCGTTCAGTCAGCTCAGTCTGTCCACTGCCAGCCGCCTGCTCCAACAGAGACACTCCACCAGCCACTGCAGCACTCTCCACCCAGACCGGCCCCAGCCTCACCTGGAGCCCCAGAGCGGCCCCTGTCCCAGAGTCCTCCTCAAGCTCATTCCCCCACCACAGAAACCCCCAAGCAGGCCCCCCCTGAGCACCTCACCCAGCAGGCCTTTATCATTGAGTTCTTCGATGACAACCCGCGCAAAAAACGCTCGCAGTCCTTCACGCACAACCCTGCCCACGCTGACTCATACTCTGCCCTGAAGGCCAAGCTGGAGCGGCGGAAAGGTGGCGAGAGGCCTGCATCTGTGCATGGCCACATCCCTCCCACCCAGCAGGTGACGGTTCCTCTGAAAGGTCAGGGCCACGGCGGCCCCCAGAGGTCGAGCTCTCTTAAGAGGGAGAAGACGGAGGGGGAGGTGGCCTCCTCTGGTTCCTCCTCTCGCTCTTCCTCAGGTATTATCATCAGACCCTTCGGCAGTGTCGGAAAGAAGTCCAAGCTTGCCCAGGAGTTTGCCGCTGAATTCCTGAAGGATTCTGGTCAACAGGATTCATCCCCCACCAGTGACAAGTCATCCCTGCCCCCAATGTCTGCACCGCCGGTGATGGTGTCGCCTCCTCAAGCCAGAATTCCCTCCCCCCAGGAACCTCCAGCACCTTCCTCAGTCTCCTACCCCACTTCCCCCTTGCAGCCTCCAGCAATGTCAAAGTTGTCAATCCCCACCAATCCTGCTGGCCAGACTGCATCTCCGGTCCACTCCTCTGGGCCTCCCTTGTCCCCCATGCTGCCCCAGGGCATCCGTGCAGCAGACCCCAAATGCTCCCAGAGGATGATGAGGAACGAGGAAGACGACAGCCTGAGCGATGCTGGGACCTACACCATTGAGACAGAGTCCCAGGACAAAGAGGTGGAGGAGGCTCGTAACATGATCGACCAGGTGAACTCACAGTGTCTATAAAGTTAGACCCAGTGTGACGCAGCATTGATGGTTCAAACTGCTCATGTAAACAAATCCCTTTACAGTTCAGACCACTTGGGGGCCAATAACACAGAGATACACCGCTAGAAACGTCTCATCTGCAGAACCGTTATTTCCATTGTCAGAGTTTACTCATCTAGAGCTCGACGTCTACCTCAATACATTTTTTCTGTTCATTTTTATCTGACCGTCCGGTTGCGGATGCTGCCTTGCTCCACAGGCACTTTTTAACAACGCTCTTTGCCTTTGTTTTTGAAGTGGCTGCACCTGGAGTGATGCATCTCTGTGTGATTGGCCCATGAGAGTGCAACAACTCCCTGAAAAACTACTGTGGTTAGTGGAACCGTTACCAAAATAAACTACTCGAGAATCACTGCACATGGTGAAATAACTGGGGGAGGTTGCTCTGCACTGAGAGACAGAAAAGACATGGTTTATTTACTAAAGTTGAAGCCATTGTTGTTGTGGGTGTGGCCCTCAGCTAGTTAACAAAAGTCTACAAATTAACAAAAGTCTACAATAGAATTGCCAATATAAACAAAAAGTAGGGGATCCTTGCCTTTCAATGTCAGCGTTATACATATCTGAAAATTGGAATTATTTTCATGTTTAAATAGGCAGCTCTAGGGATGCATGAAACCTCTTGTCCTTCTTGCTCCTTCTTGTTGCCATGATCCTGCGCCCCCTCCTCATGCATGCCCTGTGCTCTGACAGGTGTTTGGTGTCCTCGACTCTCCAGAGTACAGTGGTGTGAACACAGGAGTGTATAGACCTGTAATAAATGATGGCAAGGATGAGCAAGCTAACCTTCCTAGCGATGGTAGCACTATGGACCCGTTGCATGGCTTTATCCCAGCTGCTATCAGCGGCCCCCCAACAGGCCCCATACAGGTAAAAAACACTGAACCTGTGTGGCATGTTTTAATCCCAGTGCATGCAGACTAGTGCTGTTACTCCCTCAGTTTTTCCTGTTACATACTTTACTCTGTCAAGCCTTGTTGGGCTCCTTGGTCCCACATTTCTGTTGTCTGCTAATGTTGTTCATCATGTTGTTTTGTTGTCTAGGTTCCACCTGCTCATGCAGCAGGTCTGGAGGGACCAAAATGGGTTTCCCGTTGGGCCAGTCTGGCAGACAGCTATGCTGAACCTGGTTCCACTGCACCTCAAGGGGAATGTCTGGAAGGTGCCGATAAACTTATAAACAATCTGTGCAGTTTTTCAGAGAATGATATAAACTTACAGAGCTGGGTATCAAACGCACACACTGTCTGACCCCATTTCCACCTTGCATTAACCCAGTGATTCCCAACAAGGGGTATTTGTATGGTGCCCCAGGGGTTAGCGAGGATGGTACATGGAGAGATTGTAGAGTGATTAAAAAAATTTAATGAATTAATTAATGATTTAAAAACCTAACCCTATACATATTCCCATGCCAGTTAAGCCAATTTGAATTAAATTGAATTGAATTGAATGGAATCTAAATGGAACTGAAAACTAGTTAGCAAGCAGGTAAAAATGTGGTTGTAGTACAAATGCATACTTGACCAAACTGAAATAAACACTGACAGTTCCAATGTATGAAAATATATGCATCCATTATTATATCCACTTTAGTATGATTAGTGATTTATGTTTGAGTTATAGAAATTCATTCAAATAAAAAATTTGGACCATAAATGGTGTTGTTGATAAGTTAATTGAACTGTGCTGTGGCTGTCATCTAAAGCCCAGTTCAGACCAAAGAACAACGAGTTCACACCAATATAACTAGATGAGACAGTGTATAATCTCCTTACCAACCAATAACTCTTTGTACTTTCATTCTTACTGCCGGCTTTTCTAACCCATTTCAGTTTGACACTTTGCAACAGACTTGACCAGCTGACTTTGCTACAACCTGATTGGCTGTTGAGATAGGTGACATGCCTTACGTTTTAAAACCAGCCCCTGGTGATTTGACAAGCTGAATCGGGCTTAAAAAAACAGGTTGACAACCACTGTACTGCACCTAAATTAATGAGTTGTTCCTGATACAGATCACATAACGAGAGTAACATCCAATTTGTGTTCAAAGCAGTGAGGAAGTACTGAAAGGGACTTTTAAAAAAAATTGAATAAATTCTGATATTGACTCACATGGTCAGTGTTATGTCATGTGAAAACTGAGAATTTTAATCGTTTTTGTAGATCTACGCTTCATGAGCCGGTCGATGGGGAATTACAGCTATGATAACTCTGAGTCAGAGTCCAGCCACAGCTCCAGGACAAGAAGGCTTCTGCCCCAGGTGCCTCCAGAAAAGCTGGATAGCATTCCCCCGAGTATCCTGATTCGCCATGAACCTTACCAGGGTCAGGAATCTCTGGAGAGAGTCTCTGGTCCTCCCCGCCCACAGGACTCCACCCAGTGCCTGTCCGTTCAGGATGATGTGGACCCAGACAGTCTGAGTGACGCTAGCCGCTCAGATGACGGACCAGTTCTGGAGAAAACAAAGACGAATCAGGCCAGGACTGTATCTGTGTCTCCTGGGGGCGCTGGTCCTCAGTTCAAGGGTCCAGAGAAAGTGTCTCCCTCCACCAAATCCACCTCCTTCTACATTGGTTCTGAAGACAGTCCAGGAAAACCTGACCAGGCCCGGAGCCCAGTACAGTCTGAGAGGACACACGACCCCCCAGCAAAAACTCCCCCTACCACCGTCCTGATCCGACACCTGAGTGGACACGAACCCAGGAGGACAGGTGTCAAACCCAATAGCTCTGCTCCAAACCTCCAAATGCAGGACAAGGATTCTGTCCCCACTAAAGACAGCTGCATGTCATCCATCGTCCGGCAGGAGAGCTTCACCAAAGACCGGCCCAGCGACACCGTCCAGATGAAGAAGCTTCCCCACATCTCCAGCCACCCATCCCTCAGAGATATGGAGCAGAGGAGGGAGAACATCCAGGACACGCAGTCCTTCATTCAGGAGGCAGAGGGGACTCTGTCCTCTCTGGACACCAAGTTCCCATCATCTGGCTCCTGTCGTAGTTCAAAGAAAGGAGGCTCCTCCACGCACATGGATGACTCCCTTTCTGGTGAGTCGGATGTGGACACAGCAAGCACCGTAAGCCAGGTGAGTAGCAAAAACACTCCGGTCAGCTCTTCTTCTAAAAAGCGTCCTGCCATCAGCAGCCTTCAAAAGGAGAAGTCCTCTTCCAGCCCATCTATCCAAGAGAAGGGACGGCAACTCACCGCCCGTGAACGGCTTTCTGAGAAACGCCGCAACCAGGTGACAACAGATGCCTCCAGCAAGGCAGAGGCAGCAAAGCGCTTCCAGATGCGCCGCAGTGCGGGCAATCGTGGGTCTCTGGATCTGTCCGAGGGACAGCAGGGTTCTGGTCCACACTGGACCGAAACAACATCATCTGACCATGAAATTTCCCGTCCGTCCAGCCGTAACAAGAAAGTCATCGCCCCTCTTCAGAAAGAAGATAATGGAAAGACGGCCAAGACGGCAACTCAGCAGGTCCTGACGCGTTCCAATAGCCTGTCAGCGCCACGGCCAACCCGGGCGTCCATGCTTCGCCGTGCACGCCTGGGCGAGGCCTCAGATAATGAAGGTGCTGAGACTGATCGGGGTTCCCAGAACTCAGACCATATCCCTGCACCGTCCAAAGTGTCTGCCGAGGCGAAGAAGCTGTCCAGGCTTGACATCTTAGCGATGCCCAGGAAGAGAACCGGCTCCTTCACAGCTCCCAGCGACAATGAGACATCCTCCATGGGCCGGCCGGGTTACTCTAATCGGAACTCTGAGTCTGTTGTCACCACTAGGAAGACTTCTGTTGGCGATGCCCGGCAGGCAGCTACCAAAGGGGGTGGAGCTCTGGGGAAGCAACCACTGACCCGTACCCGGTCCAGCGGAGCCAAGTACCCCAGCACTGGTGAGTCCTGGCTAGAATTGTGTTTTCAAATGTAGACATAGAGTACCTTTTCACCTGCTTCTCTTCTGCAATATGTGGTTACCGGACTGTGTTAGTGTCTGGGTATCGGCCCTTAACCTCCTCATCATCTATCCAATGTAATCTTTGATTATCAGGGATGAAGAATTGAGGTCTCTGCTGTCGCCTAGTCGGGTTTCATAGGTGGTAAAATTATTTGCCAGCTTGATGCAAATGGTGATCAAATGGTATCACCAGAAGGTTTGTTGAATCTCGTGCTTCTGTTCATCAAGGCTGCCTACCATTTGATATCAGCACCTATACCAAAACGATACCCTGCACCCATTGTTTCTGTGTAAGCCTGCATCCCGACAGTGAGCAATATTTATCATATCGTTGCTGCTGTACCTGCACTTCTACTTCTGTCTGCAAAAGTGCAAAATCCAAATCACAGAAGCAGCAGTTCTTTGATAAAGGTCAAATGTGACAAATGGCATTATAATGAAGTTCTGCAGAGATTCCCTGACTTACAACTTCTCTAGATGGGGTACAAACAAATGTCACATCATCATGATTTTAATATTTTTTTCAGTGAAAATGAAAAATTATCATCCCACTAATCATTACCATATGTCAATATCTGTAAAAATAATGATAAATAAATTTGTTTTAGCCCTCTACGGACATCAGATGACTCATGTGATGCTGCGGACTTGTTTCATTTACTTCACACAATATAAACATTTGTATTTCTACCAAAAAAAAATTTCATTAAATAAAAGATGCCAAAGTTGATACTGTTGATACGAGACAAGAACTTTCTCAAAAAACATAATAAAATTAAAAAATGAAAAAAATATATTTTGTAAATCTGATCAAAAAGTCAATAAGAATCAGTCTTATCAGACAGATACTTTCCAGTCAGTCTCAGTACCCAGCTGTGTTGTAATTCCCTCCCCCTGATGAACACCCACAACAAACACATCGTTATTTAATTACTACATCAGGCTTTGATTTAGTATTCTGCTGATGCGTTATTCTTCTGCTGCCCTTTTACTATCATTGTGGATCACGTCTGATTTCTGTCCCTGGTGATTTGCTGTGTTCGAGCCGCTGGACTCTGCTGCTGTTACCATGGAAACACAGCTTCACAGTCTCTCCATCACTCTCTCTCATGTTGGGTCCAGGTTTGGGTGTCTCTGTATCCTGAAACTGTAACTGAGGGGAAATGCCAAAGCAATATTAGGATATTGTGGGAAAGAATTGTCTGTCGCTGCTCTAATCAATCATCAGCTTCAGCAGCTGTCGCCATGGAGATGCTTTAATCCAGAGCTGTGACATCAGAGTTGCATCACATTCACAATAAAATTACGTTTTACTTAGCTGCTGAATTCATCCAAAATCCACAGTTTCACTGATTCACTTCTGTCTGAATGTGTCCAAAAAGCTCCACAAAGATCAACGGCCACATGGCAAGTTTTAAGCTCTGATTGGATGTTTGCTGTAGCAATGCTCTCTGGGACTCATAGTTGACTTCTCTCCAAAAATTGTTTTGGATACAGTCTTCATAATAATAATAATTAAAGCTGCAAGCAGTGATGATCGGGCCCTCGCACTTGGTGCACGTTGGGGTGTGCTACCTTCGGGTCATGCACCAGTATATCATGACAACACGGAGCTATTCGCTATGACAGCGAACATTGGCACTTAGATGTGTTTAGGAAAGGGCTCTTAACAAACTTGTGAAGTTTGGGTCCAAATGGAGAATCTGTAATGCAGTCAGGTTTAGCAGTAGGGTTAGGGTTTCCATTGTCATGTCAAGGCTAATTTTTGAAGGCATGCCATGGACCCTGAAATTGCCGCAAATGGCGCCAGAAATTTTTGTTTAGGATGTGGCTCTAAGAGGCTTTTTTGTACATCTTTACATAATACAGGTTCCAACCGATTTTCATATATGCCAGTTAAACAGGATGCCAGGGTTAGTTTTTTGAAAGTTTGTAGGGGGCGCCATCGAGCCATTTTGACACACCCACGTGCAACACCCAGATGAAATGTAAAATGCTACCATATAGGACTTGTGTGCCAAGTTTCATGACTCGTTGAGCCTGTTTAGCCCCCGCAAAATGCGATCAAATGTTAAAATGACAAGGTGATATTCGCTGCGTCTCTATGGCAACACGGTTCAATAAAAATTCATAGGATTCATAAGATGTCATAAATTATATTTGTGGTTACCACAAGGTAGCGCTACCACTTTTACTGAATATTATCACATAGATGAGTTCAGGGCAAGACTCTTATCAGACACGTGCATTATGGTGCAGATTGGACAAAGTACACTGAAGGTGTGACAACTTCCTGTTTCATGGTGAAATGTCAAATCTTGGCACCACGCCAGAGACACACCCTTCGGCAAAAACTCACAACAAGCACAACTTTTAATCGTGATGGTGTTTACATCATACTGACCAAATTTGAAGTTGATCCCATCAATTCCTTTCATGAGTTTCATGAGTTTTCGGATATGATAAGGCCTACAAAAAGGCAATTCATTGCAGATAAAAATAATAATAATAATAATAATACTTCCTTGAAATACAATTTTATTGTTTCTCTTGTATTGTAGTTTATTGTAATGAACTAAAAAGATGACATCACATAAATGGTGGTAATAAAGTTTCTTTGAGGTACAATGTTTGTTTAATGAAGATGTTTTCAGCCCAGTGTTTTTTGTACTGGTGATTCAACCAGGGTCGATTCATGTGCATCACAGCGCTGAAATTATCCAACAGATACTAACAGGGTAACAGATCTACAGAACTGATACTGCAGGAGGTATTGATGCCTCATATTTTCCATAGTTTTCTTAATCTTCTTCAATAAAATGAAATTCAAATATTTTCAGGTTCCCGTCGCAGACAGAAGGGCTCAGACTTCTCTTCATCCTCTGAGGAAGAATACGAGATGAATGCCGGGACTCTCAAAGCCAAACGTTCCTCCCATCCCTCCACGTCCGCCCAGACGCCACGCGGCCACCGGACAGCCGCCACCAGATCCAAGTCTGTCTCCCTAGAGACGGAGGAGGATGAGGACCAGAACGAGGTTGACCCCTACCAGAACTGGTCCACGCACAGCGCTGAGATTGCAAAGTAAAAAAGCCTTGCAGTATCCAGACTTACCTTTAATTCAAAGAGTAACCAGACTCACATCTGTCTGTTTCGTAGTGACTGGTCTTTCTTTCACAGTGGCTCCAAACCTTTTTCCCCACAGGCTCAGTCAGGACCTGGCCAAAGATCTGGCTATCCTGGCAAAGGAAATTCACGATGTTGCCGGGGACGGAGACTCGCCAAGCTCTGGCATGGCCACCACCATCTCACCCAGCTCGCTGCCCAACACGCCGGCCTCCACCATCTCTGCCAGGGAGGAGGTGGGCAATGCTGCGGACCATCAAACACCCCCCACGCCATCATACCACAGCTTCTAAAACTGGGAACACATAAGTTTTATAACCGTGGTTAGAACCAGGATTTGACCGATATGATGGTTGACAGTGGACACTAGAAAAGTACCAGTGAAATTGCACAATTCTTATTACCCAATTTGATACCACTGTAAAAAATAGGGTTGTCCCCGATATTAATATTGATTATCTGCTGATACCGAGTCCTGATCCAATACTTTAATACAGGTGAATAGGTCTGCTTTGCATTTAGAAACAAACATGTTTACTTTTTCAGTTGGCATCTGGAGAAATCTGTGTGATCCTGCAGTTTGAGCTGAGTCCCCAATCTAAATAGAGGCAACAGTAGTTGACTCTTATTTGAAAATTCTTCCAGTGTCTTCTCAGTTTAAATATTTTATAAAACAGTAGTTTTCTTTATCATCTCTATCAGTTATGACAGCCAGAGTTTGGTAACATCAGAAATGTGCCAGGAGTTCCAGGTTGCAGGTCGATTGACAGCAGCTTCATCACGCTTTGGATTCTCATGATTCATTTCTCTGTTCTGCTGCACAGGGGCCATCTTATCCATACTTCTGTGGGGTTCGACCATCTCAGGTGTCTAACTCTGACTCATCACTCCTCCTGGTTCCCCTCCTCCACCATCCTGCACCTCCCATCACTGATCCTAACACTCCCCTCTCACCAGTGTTGGATTGTTCTGAAGCACATTCGATTTTTTTGATTTTGAGATTTGTCTGATTGAGTGGTCCGGTATGAAAGGTTATTAACAGCAGAATTACTGAGTTAGCACAACAAACACAAGCTGGAATCAGTGTGCAGGGTCAAGGTTTTGAATGCTGTTCCAAACAAGTTAACCAGTTTAAGACCCCAACCTGACCTAGCTCTACCTGATCCAAGCCTAACTTACTGTATCTAAGACAACTCTACCCTGCTTGACCCAACTAGGTTATTTTATTCCTGGCCCACCACCTCGTCTGTACCCGACCCATATCTGCCCTGATCTACTCTACCCAGAATATCCTACTTTAGCTGAACCAACTCAGCTTGTTATACCCACCCAAACTCTGATACTGTACCTGACCTAGCTTTACCCACCCAAATTCTACCCTACTTTACCTGAGCCGACCCTGCTGTACACTACTCAAACTAAATATATCCTACTATACCCAACCCAGCCTCTACTCTACCCCACTGTGCTCAACATAGTTCTATTCTGAAATACCCCACCCAACCATACTTTATTCCACTGTTCCTCAATGGCAGTACGCATCCCCCTAGGGTTACTTTGGAGTACTGCAAGGGGTACATGAGATTGTAATAAATAACGTAAATGCACGTTCAATAAACCACATTTTATATGTAATATTCCCATTTTCAGTGCAATCGTTAACTGTCAACTGCCATAGAACCTCACAGAAGAAGAAAAAAGCATCATGCTCTTACAGTTACAAGGTTGTTGTTCAATAAATCAGACAGTGATGATGCAGTGCTGTATTTAAGCTCTTTATACAGGAATTATTTTCTACCAAAAAGGTTTTGCTTTACAAATCCCTACTTAAAGTTGGTCAGAATGCTATAGTAGTTTAATGGATCGGGTTTTGCTCACCAGCCAGTGATAAAGGAGTATTTTAAATGTCCTTGGTACAACAGTTTCTTTTATCAGAACTTCAGACTCTGTCCCTGCTCACTATCGGATCTTTATTTTCATTCATGCTCCTGCTTAGATTTTATTTGTGCTTGCTCAGAAGTTTTGCCATAAATAACTTTTCATTTCCCTGCACCTTTTATGAACTGGTTTTACTGGTTTTGGGACAGTTCATGGAGCTGTAGCTGGTGACCAGTTGGATCCTCCTGCACTCCTGTGTCTCCCCGTTGTTGTTAACACGCTGTATCCCAGCAGTACTAAAATTCACTGCATACACCGTTGCCCTCCACCATCGCAGCTGCATGTTGACTTGATGCATGCGTACACGGAGCACCGCCATCACCGGCCGGCTGCTCGTTGGTTTGATGACAAATATTCAGTGGTTGGATCACCGGAGCCCGGCTCCCTCTACTCTCTTTCCAGCTGGTCCAACATATCCCTGAGGCCAGTTTAAACTACCAGAAGGTTCCTCCAGGTTCTGCTGCAGTCTCGGACCTGGACGCAAACATGAATGAGCCGGAGCCCGGTTCTAAGCAACGCCGTCCGTGGAACCGCGAAGAGGTCACTGTCTAATCCCGCTGAGGCTACGTTCACACAGCAGCTCAGTGTGTCCCAGATCTGAAGGTTTAATGTGACACAAGATGGTTTTAGTCAGTTTGAACAGTTTTACTGTCTTGATCTGGACGATGTGGATGGAGAATGAAGTATTGAATCTACAAATATACATAACCACATTAGACCCAAAACTGCCCTAAATGACTTAATGGTTTAAAAGATTGACTTAATTGGAAGCATTTGATATTTAATTATATGAAACAAAACTTATTTGTGTCTGATCAGTGTTTTTCTCATTGTGTCTCAATAGTACAAATATTTATTATTTATTTTAACTTATTTTCCAGGTAACTTCGTAACTTGGTGGGCTAATGTGGAAAGCAGGAATGTTCCCAGCTAGCTAGCGTCTTACCTATTATTAGATAGTATTTTACCAAATATCTCTGCAAGTATTCACTACGTCACCAAGTGTCTAGCACTACCTGTTTTGTAGAGATATGCCGGTGAATGGCAGGGCACTTCCTGGTGTGACTGAACACTAAAAGTCTAGCCTGCTGCTAAAGGGAGCAAGAATGGGATCAGTAAAGTTCTTGGAAATCTGACAAGTAGTTGTTGAAATGACAAATAAGGGAGGATAAAGGACATATGGAAACAGCCTGCAGTGTGAACGTATCCTAAACAAACTAAACATGACTGCAACTGCTGCAGTTAGTTTTGGTGTGCTGGGAAATCAGGATGTAAACATCTGTTCATGTCAGTGTTGATGTCACGTTCCTGGTCCCTGCTCAGAGTTCATCTGGTTAATTTTTTGACTCTGAATGAACTCTTTCAGGTGATTCTGGACAACCTGATGCTGAATCCAGTGTCTCAGCTGTCTCAGGCCATCCGGGAGAACACAGAGCAGCTGGCGGAAAAGATGAAGTAAGGAAGCTCTTGATGACACTCTCCCTGTAATAAATGTAGTTACTGCGTTTACATAGACTGCACCTCTGTGCAGTCCCTGCACGAAGTTACATTCCCAACAGTTAACACAGATTCAACCAATCCCTGTGAAATCTTTGCAACTTTCACAAATCAATCAAAAAAATCATCTATTTTTGCAATTTTCACTTTCTCTCACAATTTCATTGCAAAAAAATGAAACATTGATGCATGCCTCACAGTTCTTTATAAAAAGGAATTTTAGGCTGCAACAATCCCAGAAACAGCCCACGAAATCCTGGAGGGACTGTCTGTGTTTTAGAGATCTTTAGACAGAACTGAATCTGAAAACTGGAGACTACCTAGATCCTGTCTGGAGAATAGCAGGGCTTTATAGATGGTTAAGGGGAGCCCAGATATGTGCATGTGGAACATATTCACAATTTGCTGGGTTTAGCATTTGATATGAAAAACAAAGCTGAGACTGCAAATTGCATCTTGTACAATAAAGTGCTAAAACTTCAGAATAAGGTCCGGTTTTGTGGGGGGGTGAGTGTTTGGAGGTTTGTGGAGGGAACATTTATTGGATAGATATATCAGAAGTTCTTATTGTGTCAGTACAGTTTCTTGAATCCATCTGCTGTGCTTTAATTTTGCGTGGGTACTAACCCTGCAGTGTGTTTGTCCATTCTCAGGGTTCTGTTCCAGAACAAGGCAGGTGTCTGGGAGGAGATTGAGGCAAAGATCAATGCTGAGAATGAAGTCCCCATCCTGAAAACCTCCAATAAGGTTCTTCTGCAAGCTATTTAATAATTATAAATAACTCTGATGTGAGCACAGCTGGAACTATGTGTTTCATCTTGCAGGAAATTACCTCCATTTTGAAAGAGCTGAGAAGAGTCCAGAGACAGCTTGAAGGTACGAGCAGACTCAGCTTTTATATCTGACATTATTTAATCAGGACAGATTTTCACAGAAAAATAATACAATCTAAGACTTAATCTGAACTGGATTTAGTTTGATCTGGTGTGATCATTAATGTCCTTTTCTTATTGCTGTAGTTATAAACACTATCGTGGAGCCCGGTGGGAGTCTCCAGACTACTGCTGTCGCGACATCGTCTCACAGTCAGACTAGAACGTCATCAAAGGAGAAGAAATCCGCTGCCAAACCCCGTGGCGCCCCTGCGACCTCCAACGCCAATGAAAGCACCAAAAGACCACCTCGTGGACCCGATGGGGCCCACTACATGGCCTGAACAGGCCACCGTAGCACCTCTGGATAGTAACTGTGCATCCACACCGCCTGCAGCCATATTGCCCCACCTCTGTCCAATGATCGGTCCGACCCTGATGATTACTGGCTGTAGCACCCAGAGAGGCATCTTCTTTTATTCTAGATGAGCTTGTCGGGAGCTGTAGCTCAACAGAGATCAGCTTTTACTGTGTAGCTGGCCACTTGAATCGAGCAAGAACCCCATTATGAACACATGTTTTTCAGAGAGATCAGCAGGCATTTGTAAAGACGAACTTCTAGTCTGACTTTAACTCGTGAGTGCTCATCCATCATGTCATGTTTGGGAGTACATCTATTTCAAAGTCTTTATTTTGATTGTGAATGTCTCAATGGTTCAAATGGTGGAGTCTGTCTGGAGAGTCAGAGAAATTAAGTATATGTTTGTCTTTATTCTAAGGAGAAAATTTGTTAATTCTTTGGTCCTCAGTGTCCCACAATTCATTGTGTGCCAGTGTCCCAATTCCATACTTCATACCAATATACAGTATGTACCCTAATGTCATAGAATAGGGTTTGGTATTACTGTTTGGTATTGGCAGTAAATCATCAGCAGCGGTCGTGCAGTGTGTAGTAAAGAAGTGCAAGGTTGGCAGCAGGAACTGGCTGAACTTTGTGGTGAATCTTCTGTAAAAGGAAGGAGGCACAAAAGTACTTTTATACTTCACAACCTTCAAAAGTTGAGAGAATTGGCCCCTAAAAGGGGGCACAGAGACCGGGACCGGGAGTAACATTCAGTTGGTTGTTGTCTACCATTTGATTTCGACAGCCACTGAGTTTTCTCACTGTAGAAAGCTGCCGGTGATGTGGATGCACTCAAACTGTCCAAAACAAATGTCTCATTTGTATCCAGTGATTCATAAGAACAAATGCATTTTGAGTGAAACAATATAACTATGTAGAACTGCTTCTACATCGCACAAGCTGAACAAAATTTAGTCAAAGCTACAAAAAGCAGCAGCTGCTCGCGCCACAGTAGTACTGTACGTGGACGATGTTCAAACGTATATTGATACATTTGTGCTTTGATAATCTATTGTTGTGTTGCATTTGAACAGATGATAGATTGTGTCTTTTCTGTCTGTATTTATGAGGAGAGAGTTGTAGCTATTTTCCCATCAGAGGGTCCTCTGCTACTTCAGTGTCATGGACAGGAAACACTCGTAAAAGTAAAAAGATGTAATGTTATATTTTATTGAATGTTCTGTTGCCATCTCGCTGTGATTGTGCGATAACTGTGAAACTGCTTCAGGTTTGCTGTAGTTGAATGTTGTGAGTGCTGAATGTCAGAGAGAACAAATCAGCTTAACTAAAATGCGACCTCCTACAGGTCCTTAAACACATCACCTTCCTGAGTCACAGTGAATGAAACCCAAGAAACACGACATGTTGTGTTGCACTTGTGAGAACTGTTTCTTCCCCGTCAAGACCGACACACAAAGCACACAGCTTTGGTTTTATTTTCAGAAGTTTTAGAGGCAGAAACGTAAGTGATGACATCAGTTAATGCCATTAGATCATTTCGAAACTAATTCCACTTTCTGGGCAAACGGAGACGCTTTCTTCATTTATGAGATAAAGATTTCTTAGGATCCTATGAGATGTCATAATTATCATGAGAAATGCGCTGTTGCGTTTTCTACTCACGAGTTGTAAAAATCCAACAATCGATCAAACAACCGTCCACTGTACAGAGACGCAATGATAACCCTAACCCAACTACAACAAGCTCATATATTCAAACATTATCACTGTAGTTGACCTTCTGTCAGTATGTTTACTTCCTAAAACCTGACTTATATCAACAGGGGAAGAAGCCACTACCACTTTATTATCTAAATTTGAGAAAACAACTTACTATCTTTATCCAGAGCTTTCAGCTGCATCTCACAGATTTCACAGTGACCGTCTTTCATCAGACAGCATCTCCCCATACCTGAACACACCTGAACCATCTCCATGACAACGAGGCAATGAGTATGAGTGTGAGATGTGGTTGCAAGTTCTGGAAAAATCATATCATAAATGGACAGATTATTTAGTTCCAGTCAGTAATGAACTTCCTCGCTCGTTAGCTACTGTTTAGACCTTCTTGTAAAGACCTTCATCCTCCTTAATAAACAGGCTTTTAAATACATAATTACATTCCCACCACAAGTTAGAAAAGTGCTTTATAAAAAAAGTATTTACAGTTTTACCTTGTGGGAACGACCTGCTCAGCAAAGGGTGGGAAATAAAGTGTGTGTGTGTGTGTGTTTTAACTTCCTTTGAGAGCGCTGTACAGATGTAAGTAAGAGTGTTAGCTATCTTTATTCATTGTCACATTTCAGATGAATGTCAGTTACAGGTCCAGGATGTGGTTAGCTTAGCACAAAGACTGGATGCAGGGGGAAATTGATAGCCTACCTCATCAAGAGAAGAAATCTCGAAAAGTCTGTCTGATTAACCAGTCAGTCCATCCAGGAAGTTGCGATCGCACCGATAAACACACATTTAACCAATCCCTGTGAATGCTGCGGGACCTTGCAATTTTGTCTGATCACCACAACTTTTCTGCAGATTTGTCCAGTTATAGCAGTCAGTTGTGCAAAACATTGATCCATACATAACATATGTTGAGGACGCAATGTTTTCTAAAAGTAGAGTGGACTGTGTTTTTACTGCGGTTGCTATTTCTCTGGAGTTTGAGAATGTTAGCTAGCAGGTAGTTCAGTTGTTGTACTGAAAAGCAACATAACTTTAACTTGTGCCTCCAGGCTTTAGGTTAGCTTATCTCTCTGCCTTTGAAGCTAACTCTTGCTTAGCAGCTTAATTGTTGGTCAGATATAAAAAAATGTCAATTATTTAATATAAACAAATAAATATAAATGTCAAACTGTCTGTAGAAAACCAGCAACATTAGACGTTCAAGTGAAACAAGAATTAATTGCATTCATGTATAGAAAATCACAATAGTTCACTTCCTGCGCCTAGAGGTTGTTGGTCAACAAATAGCTCAAATGTTAACTGCTGAACGCCATGTCTATGTTTACATTTCTGTTTTTCTACTCCTGTTCAATAACCAACATACAAACTGTAAATCGGACAGATATGAAGCTTCTGGAAGGTGGAATTTTTCACTTTCGAAGGAGCTAGGCTAGCAGTTCCCCCTGCTTCTAGCCTTTGTGCTAAGCTAAGCTAAACACATCCTGGACACCCAGAGACCAAACTGAACATGTGACTCTGGAGAAGACAAGATGATTTCACCAAACTGTTGCTGTAAAGTGTTTGGCTGGAGAGACAGGATATTTTAGTCTTTTATTTTGTAAAGTGCATGTTTCCTGTAGCTTGAGGCAGGTGAGAGTTTGAGGCTAGTTCACCAAATGTGCACTTTTTCATTTGACAAACACCTCATGAGAACAGCTTTTTTGTGCTACGCAGCCATTGAGAATGTATCGATTGGTCACCTGCCCACAACACAGACCTGATTGGCCGTTGCTGTGATGATGTAACTGCTGCTGCTACAGGTGATTGGTCATTTGGGCTACTTGCATTTTGTGTTTTTCTTTCGTTACAGTGCATGCAACTGTGAAGCAGACGAGCTGTAGAAACATGCTGAATAGACGAAGCAAACCAAACTGTTCATATTTCTGCTGTATGTTTCCTGTTTGAAACCTTTTTTATGCATTGATCATACGAAGGTCTGCAGCCGATCAATCTGCAGCCGATCAATCTGCAGTCCGCTGTGTTTCTAATGGAGTATAACCTTCCTGATTTATTCATTAAGTTCCAATGATCTTCAGATATCTGGACTCTCATGTGTTCACCGTCAGCAGGATTTCTTTGTATCACCATGTCATTTGTAATAAACTGATTTCATGCACTCTGATGTTAATATCTCTTTCTACACTGTAAGAAACGATACACCATATCTACTCAATAAAAATGAGGCAACAGATTACAAGCAATAGTATTAATTAAATTTCACAATGTTTGGTATTGAGTAAATATTAATTAAATGAGACCCTTAATAGTTATCCATTTAATATGAGTAGATTTGAATAGAAAAACAGTACAAAATTATAACCTAAACAAAAATATTGAGTTGATTTGAAAAAGATAAACTCCCTAATGTGTAAATAGTACTAATAAAAATGTTCTACATATCAATGATATATAATTGAGTAATAATCATCTACATTAATCTGCACATTGATTTGAATTTAGTCAATGCAATGAATTAAATCTAAATATTCTTCTTTCTTATGAATAACTAGTCTATGGCCCAGAAAGTACAGAACTTAACAAATACTCAAATAAGAATTTTATTAACAATTCACTTTTGTGCTTTCGACACATTGTAGCACATCAGTGTACACTGCAACCACAGTCTCATTTCAAGCCAGAAGTTTGCTCTTGCATTTCAAACCAGACATTTGGAAAGGACAGAATGCTGACTTCAAACTATTTTGTAAAAACAAAAATAAATGCCATATTACAGAATGGTGATTTGTCCATAAACATGTATTTCCATGCTTTCTCACCTCACTTAGCCACTAAATTGGATCAATAATGATCTTAAAGAAAAATCCTCCAGAAGTGCATGTACCAAAACAAAAGAAGAAAAGTTTAATTTGTACGGAGTAAAAAACATTTCATACTTTGAACTAACCACAATTGAAATGTCATGACATTCGGGTGACAAATCAGTGCTAACTTACAAACGTAGCACTTTCAAATGTGCAATTCTCAAGCTCTGTAGAAGCTGGACATTGTGTAGCACAAAAGTTTGCACTGCAACTACAGTCTCATTTCAAGCCAGAAGTTTGCTCTTGAGGGACTGGACTTTGTTTGACAGCTTTGAATCTTCCAGTTCCAAAAAAAGTTTTTGGAATACCTCAAAAGGTGTACTTCAGCTGTCTGGGATAATCGAGATTCAGCGCGTAGGTCAAGCCAAGGAGGACAGAGCAAGCCCTTGCAACATCTCCAAGTCCTGTGATGACTTCCACGCCCTCTATGACGATTCCAATGTTCTTTGGGCTGTTGCTTGTAGAAGCTCCAGGCTTTGGGGTCACAGTAATGGCCATTATGAGCTGTTCAAGTTCCTCCAAGTTCTCAGTGACAAATGTGTGCGAGGGGCCCTTAATGTTTTAAAGGGGCATGGACAATTATAACCGAGACAAGGTACCGAATTTCCAATCTCAAACGTCCTGTGCTGTAGTCTGTAATGCTGCAGAAGATCACCCCTTGTTGTCGCTCTGAATCCACAGACTTTACACTGCCATCTCATTTGGCAGCACCTTGGAACACCAAGTTTTAGATATGAGAAGTGCCTTTCAGTTTCACATTTCTACAGATGAAAATCATCCCCTTGTGAAAAAATGAAATTAATTCATGCAAAATATTTACATATTTATAGATCCTGGATTTTTTAATGAGGGAAAAGGAATTGATGTCATTTCAAGGATATTAATGATATAATTGAACTTATTTTGTGGAAAAACCATATCATGTACGCTGAAGGCGCCGAAAGCACAGAATTACAGCCACTAAGCCTAAAGTCACACAAAACTCCCCAATAAAAATACACAAATTGAAATGCGCCTTCAGGACGAGCAACATGATGATATTTTAAAGAATAAAGTAACGGTGGAGGCCACTGTTTGATTCAGCAACTATTTTGTGGGTAAATGTGGACTTATTTCGGTAAAAATGGAACTTAAATGACTAGTTAACAAGCCATTCATCACCAGTCATCTTTATGTTAAATTGACATTTTTTCCAATGGAGTTCGGCGGCCGGCTCACGAAACTCCAACTATCAAACTCAACACCGCTAATCAGATATGAAACAGAATTCTGTTCCTAAAATGTTTTCAGAAACTTTTAGTGTACGGTTTATCTGTAAAATGAGAAAGTTTGTGCCGTGTTAAGCTTCCTCCCCTCCTGCTAACGTTACGTTAAGTGCTAACCGCTGTGGACGGACATTACCACACTAAAATGAACAGATTTATGTATGAAAAGAAATAAAATTGCGGCTCTAAAACGTAGCACTGTTAATAGACTGACTTCAAGTGTGTTTAGGTAAGTTACCTTCACATTTTCATGTTGCAACAAAACAGTGAAACAACAGAGAGAAGTTACGTTACCTGCCCGGGAAGACGAGCTCGACACACAGGAAGTAAAGCTAACGGAAGAAATACAAGATGCTCTTCCAGCGATAACCCCAATATTTCTCTTTATGGAAACGTGTCTAACATTAACATTAAACCCAATGTACTTATTTACGCAATTTCATAAAAACATACTGAGGATATATCAACACACAAAGGACGTAGGAATCATGATAGCGGAAATGCTAACCTGCATCCTTCAAAATAAAAGTTTGACTTAGATACATATGAATTCTTCCAAAATGTATAATGCTGTTGATATTATAGCGCAACAAAATCACACTACTACATTAATACATAGCCTTGCCAACAGAAGCCAACTTTGTGTTGCTGCTGAGTCTCTTTTTCTGTGATAGCTCATTTTATATTGTAATATTCCACTACATGATAACAAAAGAAGTTTTCTTACCTTAGTCAAACAGTTACATTTGCAAGATGAGCAATGTGGAAGAAGACAGACATTCACTGTCTGTAGTCTCTTCCAATGTCCTGTGACTAGATGATAGCCTGCTGCATTTTAAAAAAGGCGCACTTTGACAGGAAGTGCTTTTCAATTAAAATTTGCCTGATTACATTAATTTGAATTCACTCAATATTCTCTCTATTTGGGATTAGGTAAATATAATGCTTATGTTTTATTTAACTACAATGGGTGGATTTTATTCCAAACATTTTTATTTGAAATATAATTAAATATTTGCCTCAAAATCTAAAACACAATCATATTGAATACATTTTACCTAATACATTAATTCAAATCTACATGACCACAGAATCATTTCTTACAGTGTACAGCGGCCACGTTTCACACAAATGTCTTTCTACACTTTTATTTTCTTTTAAATCTGCGCTCCTAAACTCCTGATTTTTAAAAAAATTCTAATTTTCTCTTTATTTGAAAAAGCAAAACATTACAGTTGCATACAATTTACTACAGCATTACGTCTTTTGCTTTTCCCATTTTCCATTTTTAAGTTGGTGTTAGCAATCAACAGAACAGAGTTGAACTGGGGAGCTTACTGACTGATTATCTTAATGACACACACATTATATACACAAAAGGTGAAAGCTGGTGGTTGTGCCTTTAACCATTTTTTTGTTATTGTTTTTTTGCTTGCAGTCAGTAGTATACAAAGTAATTTTTTGTCGTTAGTTTTCCAATTGTCAAAATTCATATAAGCCAGATATACAGTTTCCCACTGGAAAGGGACCTTGGTGCCAAATATATTGTTTATATGTGTATGTATCCCTTTCCAGTAAGCATGTCTGACCTTACAATTCCAGAAAATGTGGAACTGATTGGCTTCTGTAGAACCACAGGGTCTCCAACAGGCATCCCCTATACCCTGATGTCGTTTTTGTGCTGGTGTGACAAAAAATCTCACAACATTTTTACAACCAAACTCTCGCCACATATTTGACCCTGTTGAGATCCACTGTAGCTGGCATATTTTCTCCCAATTTTCCATAGGAATCGTTACATTTGCTTCTTTTTCACTCTTTTTCTTTATGTATTCTGTGGTCTGTCGTTTGGACTGTTGGATGCCATTATATAGTCTGGATATTAGTTTGGTGCAAGTTCTTGTCTCAAAGAATGATAAGAACACCTGCAGGAATTCGGGTCCACTTTTCACTGCAGACTCTTTCAGGTTCTGGTTAAAATAATGCCTAACTTGCAAGTATCTATAAAAATCATCTTTTCCTAGACCATGTTTGTTCTGTAGATCTTCAAACTTCTGAAATGCCCCCTTGAGGGTAAATGAGTAATAGGTAGTTAACCCCTTAGAGGACCAGGTCTTAAATCTACCATTAGTTTTATTGTGTGCAAAATCTGAGTCATAGGCACACCACCTCAGGAGTTTGTATGAATCACCCAGTCTGCAGAGTTGGGCTGTTTCCTGCCAGGACTTCAGAGACCATCAGTTCACCCTGTAGTTTATTATCTGCCAATAGGGCTGTTAGTGGAATATCTTCTACCATCGTGCTTTCTATGTCTTTCCATCCTGCCGAGTAAGTTGGTGAGCAAAGGCAAGCCAATGATCTCAGCTGAGCTGCATAGTAGTACTCGCTACATGCTCTGGGTCAGCAGCTCCTGCTTCCACATCCTCTGCTAAGTCTAAAAAATTAACTTTGAAAAATAAAGTGTAGCAGCAGCTTGAGTTTCCCTTTTTCTTTGTTAACTGTTTCATATCTTGATTAACAGGTTCAACACATTTTAGAATAAATTAATATCAACACATCTTTACAATTGAACAGTTTCTCTTTCTTTCCCTTTTATATCTTTCTATACACTTTCTGTTGTTCAGTGAGAGAATTGAGCTCTAACCTCTCTCCCTCGTTGGGCAGTGAATGAATGGGTCAGGATCAGTGTTGGTCATCTTACTTTAAAAAAGTAATTAGTTATAGTTACAAATTACTTATCCCAAAAAGTAACTGAGTTAGTAACTCAGTTACCACATTGTAAAAGTAATTAGTTACTCAGCAAAGTAACTGTGACGTTATTTTTTATGGTCTATAATTCCATTCTGTAACATCTTCTATAACGTCAAAGATGTTTATAATCACTGAATAAAGAATAAAAACACTATATACAGTATTTTAGAACATTTGGTATTTATTTGAACTCAATAGATTACAGCCAGCCATATGCATAGAAATAAAAATATATACAAAATAAATATTGAAAATAAAATTCACACATGTTACATAAACATTCTTGCCTTTAACTTCAGTAAGCGAGTAGTAGTGTCGGTACTTCCAGTTTGATATCGCTACCTTTGAATTTCCCTAGCTCGTCGCCATTGTCTCTGTCTTGGCATCCGCCCACCCAGCCAATCATCATCGCATTTGCAACGGTGTCATCATCACCACCCTGCCCTCTGCTGGCAGCTGATGTGTGGCTGTCAGAAAGCCTGACACTGCTGCACTTCATTCACCACATTGTAGGAACGCAAGTAACGCGCCACTTTACATTCTCAGTAACGGTAACGGCGTTACAACGATGGGAAAAGTAATTAATTAGATTACTCCGTTACTGAAAAAATAACACCGTTAGTAACGCCGTTATACTTAAACGCCGTTACTCCCAACACTGGTCAGGATACTGGTTGAGTGATCACATTGGGATCTGAGCCTGCTTATTTTCTGAGACCTTGTTCAGACTTGAGTGGGTATGTTTGATGAAAACTTTGTGTTTTGTCTCATAGTGGCGTTTCACACTGGCACTTTTAATCAGCGCCACGGTCTCTGAACATGAGACACACTGGTTATGTGCTCCCAGTGGGAAGAATGAATGTGAATGAATCTGTCCATTAAAAGCTCGATTTTCTATCCACTTTTCTCTTCTTAGAGAGCGCCATAAATCTTCTGTTGTCTCTCGCTCACTCATCTCTCCGTTTCCTCTCCATGTATCTGTGACTTCTCTTTCTGTCTGTCTCTCCTCTCTCATCGCTCTCATCTCTGTATTCAGTCGCGCTGTTTAAACAGATTTGATTGGCTGAGCAGCATCACGTGGGATGGCTTAACTAGCATGCGATTGGTCTGTGAGCTTCCTGATCCGCTAAACAAATACCGTAAAGACTCCTGATTTAAAGCTGATTTAGATCAAACATTTGGCTGTTTTAACAGATGTATTTTGTTTTCTGTGGTTTGTCTTGGTTGATTGATTTTTTATTTATATATATATATTTTATTTATTTTATTTATTTTTTTTATTTATTTATTTATTTTTTCTTCTTCTTCAGCAGCAGTAGCTCAGTGTGTAGGGACTTGGCTTGGGAACCGGAGGATCGCCGGTTCAAGTCCCACAGACCACAATATGGAGTGTGGACTGGTAGCTGAAGAGGTGCCAGTTTCACCTCCTGCCGAGGTGCCCTTGAGCAAGGCAACATAACCCCAAGAAACTGCTCATGGGCACCACTAACGAGACGAGCCCATCACTCCACCATCTCTCTCCCTGTTTGCATGTCCACAAGCCCCTGCATGTGCATGAGTGTGCGTTTCGGCCTGTGTGTGTATTAAAAAAAATTGAAAATAGAGTGTAACCCTTTGGCTCTAGGTGGGTGGTCGTCTGCCTCGACCAGTTGGGGTGATTAATTTAATCGGGCTTGATCGATAGATATAACTGTGTATCATCTGCATAGCAATTAAGGTTAATAGAATGATTCCTAATAATGTTGCCTAAAGGGAGCATATATAAAGTAAATAGTATTGGTCCAAGTACAGAACCTTGTGGAACTCTTAAACCACTTAAACCAGCTTAGTGCGGTTCCTTTAATGCCAATTTGATCCTCAAGTCTCTGTAAAAGAATATCATGGTCAATGGTGTCAAATGCAGCACTAAGATCTAATAATACAAGTACAGAGACAAGTCCATTGTCAGAAGCAATCAAAAGGTCAATATTACCTTTATCAAGAGCTGTCTCTGTGCTATGATGAACTCTAAATCCTGACTAAAAATCCTCAAATAAACTATTGTTATGTAGAAAGTCACACAACTGTTTGGCGACTACTTTCTACAGAATCTTAGAGAGGAAGGGGAGGTTAGAGATCGGTCTATAGTTGGCTAAAACCCCTGGGTCAAGAGTGGGCTTTTTAAGAAGGGGTTTAATTACAGCTACTTTAAAGGACTGTGGTACATATCCTGATAATAAAGAAAGATTAATCATATCCAGTAAAGAAGTGCCAATTAAGGGAACAACTTCTTTAAGCAGCCTAGTTGGGATCGGGTCTAACAGACAGGTTGATGGCTTCGATGAAGAAATGATTGAAGTTAATTGATGAAGATCGATAGCAGAAAAACAGTCTAAATATATATCTAAGTTTACATTAGTTAAAGTTCCTGAACTTGGAGAGCCAGTGATACCTGTTGAGGGCATTTGGTGATTAGTTTTCTCTAATAATTTTATTATAAAAGAAGCTCATGAAATCATTGCTACTTAAGTTTATGGGGATATGTGGCTCAATAGAGCTGTGACTCTCTGTCAGCCTTCTGTTAGTGCTGAATAATAGGCTCCTCTGGCATTACGGAGGGCATTTCTATAGGTTTTAAGATTATCTTGCAAAATTGAGCGACGTTCTAATCATTTCGAAGAGCTTTCAGATTTCCTTGCTTTTTGCTTTAATTGGCGGGTTTGGTGGTTGTACCACGATGCTAATCCCATATGTTTTAATAATTTCCTTTCTATAGGGCCGACAGAATCTAATGTCGATCGTAGTGAGCCTGTAGCACTATCAACAAGATTATCAATTTCAGGGGGACTAAAGTTGTTATAGGACTCTGTTATATTCAGACATGGCATTGAATTAAACACTGAAGGAATCTCCTCCTTAAATTTAGCTACAGCACTGTCAGATAGACATCTGCTGTAGGAGGTTTTGCCTAATGGCTTATAATCTAATAGTATGAATTCAAAAGTTATTAAATAATGGTCAGATAGGAAAGGATTATGTGGGAAGACTATTAAATGTTCAATATCAATGCCATATGATAAAACAAGGTCAAGAGTGTGATTAAAACAATGAGTTGGTTTATTTACACTCTGACAGAAGCCAATTGAGTCTATTAATGATATAAATGCGTTACTAAGGCTGTCATTGTCAACATCCACATGAATATTAAAATCACCTACAATAATTACTTTATCTGATTTAAGGACTAAACTTGATAAAAACTCTGAGAATTCAGATATAAAATCAGAGTACAGTCCAGGAGCGCGGTACATTATAACAAATAGAACTGGCTGCAGTGTTTTCCAGTTTGGGTGAGAAAGACTAAGAACAAGGCTTTCAAATGAATTATAATTTAGTTTAGGTTTAGGGTCCATTAAAACGCTCAAATCATATATGGCTGCTACTCCACCAGCGGTAGAAGGGGGAGGAGGGTGCCGCAAGTGAGCTTTTTTACGATAGTGTTTTGAAATATACATCCCAGAGCTGTAGGGGGAGCTCGTTGAGAAAACATGCGACGACAAAAGTGAAAACCAGCAAAGAAATGGCTAGAGTTGCCAAGTTCCCCTTTAACAGACAGAGACCTGATATTTAACAGCCCACATTTCATACTAATAAGAGTTTAGTAATTTTTATTAGGCTTTTATGTTTAATTCCTCTTGTTTGTATTTCTTTAAATAATTTAGGTGGTCGGGGGACAGACAGTCTCTATGGGGTTTTGGGTGGGTGACTGTTCTAAAGAAAGCACAGAGAAGTGTTTAAGACAGCAGCTCTGCTTCCTGGTCCTAACTCTGGACTGTCAGGTTTTAGAGATAAACTTCGCCATATTTCTAGATAAGAGAGCCGCTCCATCCAAAGTGGGATGGATGCCGTCTCTCCTAATCAGACCAGGTTTTCCCCAAAAAGGCTTCCAGTTATCAATGAAGCCCACATCGTTTGCTGGACACCACCTTGACAGCCAGCGGTGGAATGATGACATGCGGCTATATATGTCATCACTGGTCACATTGGGGAGGGGTCCAGAGAAAACTACGGAGTCCGACATAGTTTTAGCATAATTACACACCGACTCCACATTAATCTTAGTGACCTCCGATTGGTGTAAACGGGTGTCATTATCGCCAACGTGGATAACAATCTTACCATATTCACGATTATCTTTAGCCACCAGTTTTAAATACGATTCAATGTCGCCCGCTCTGGCCCCAGCGATACATTTAACCGTGGTTGCTGGCTTCGCTAACTTCACGTTTCTGACTATGGAGCTGCCAATAACCAGAGTTGGTTCCTCAGCGGGTGGGGAAAATTTATTAGAAACATGAACCTGTTCGTGGTGAACTGTGGGCTTCTGGGGTTTGCAGCTATGCTTCCCCCGGACAGTCACCAGGCCTCCCTGGCTACCCGGCTGCTCGGGAAATTACCGGGGGACGGCTAGCAGAAGCTACACTGGGGCTAGCTATTGTGGCTAAAAATATCTCTATGGTGCCGTGCCGTGCCGTGCCTCTAGTTCACTGAACCTCGCCTCCAGCGCAGTGAATAAATTACATTTAATACAGGTAGCATTATCACTAAAGGAGGCAGAGGAATAACTGAACATCTGGCACACTGAGCAGGAAAGAGCAGCAGAGGAAGAGGGAGAAGCCATCGTTGAGTGTTGCTAATGAAGCTAGCATGAGTGAAAACGTTGTAATGGAAGTAGCTCTGAGTGTTTAGGTAGAACTAGTCTACGTTTAAATGTTAAGCGGGTAAATAACCACTGTAACGAGTAAAACTAGTTTGTTTTTAGCGTTCACTGGACAGAGTTACAGCAGCAAACACTGTACACAGAGCAGGAATTACACCGGAAATGACTACGCTTACCGTTGCACGTCAGCACCATCAGAAAAAAAATTCAATTCAATTAAATTCAATTTTATTTGTATAACACCAATTACATTATAACAGAAGTTATCTCAGGACACTTTTCAAATAGAGCAGGTCTAGACCGAACTCCTTATAACATTATTTACAGAGACCCAACAGTACCACCATGAGCAAGACACTTGGAGACAGCGGCAAGGAAAAACTGCCTGTTAATGGACATACTGATTGATGGACATACTGATCAATGGACATACTGATCGATGGACATACTGATCAATGGACAGATTGACATACTGATCGATGGACATACTGATCAATGGACATACTGATCGATGGACAGATGGACATACTGATCGATGGACATACTGATCGATACACTGATGGACATACTGATCAATGGACAGATTGACATACTGATCGATGGACATACTGATCAATGGACATACTGATCGATGGACATACTGATCAATGGTCAGATGGACAGACGATGAAGCGTCTCCTTGATGCTGCGTAGGTGTCTCAGGTGTCCCTCTCAGGTGTCTCTCTCAGGTGTCCCTCTGGTCTCTGTCCTCCTGCTGGAAGCCTCTCTTCATGGTGCGGCTGATGTACAGGAACAAGATCTACAACAAAGTCCAGGACACATGGGGGGCAGCCCCCAGACCAAAAGTCTCAAAAAAGAGTGTGTTTGTAAACATTAATACGGTAATTATTAATAATAACTCAGATTAAGTCGGACAAACAACTTTGTCTGATCCAGTTTGGTTTGTCTGTTCTGGGCTATTGTAGAAACATGGCGGTTCAACATGGTGGACTAGATAAAACGTTTCATTCTAAGGTAACAAACACACAAGGATTTTTATTTTTAGCTGATTAAACACTAATGAAACCATGAATATTATATTAATGTGACACACTGGAGACTAGAACACAACCACAGGGTCAGTGTTAGAACCCTTTCAAACTATAGTACACAAGCTCCCTCTAGTGGTAACAGAGAAATCTCTCTATTAAAATACTACTATTTGGAATGAAAATACTTAAACTATGTAATGTAACTTAATTGTCTTTGTCAAAAGTTTTGCATTTGCTGTAATATTTAGTTTAAGCCTGCTACGTTGTCACATTCATGAATCACATATCCATGATCAGTACGGAGCTGTACTGTAAGATAGTGGTTGGAGGTCATATGAATGGTTCATAAACACTGCAGTCGTGGCTTCAAACTGGAACTATTGGGAAGTGAAATGTGGACCAGGAAGACATGCTTTCCACCAAATTAGCTCTGGTTCTTGAACCAGTTCTGTTGACACTCAACAATAAATAATCTTCTTTTTAAAGCTGCCTCCTGTGTGAACTGTCTGTAGCTGAACAGTGTTGAGTTTTAGAATGACGGCAGTGAGACAAGTATTTTCTGATAGGGGACGGCACAGAAAGCTTAACATCCTCTCTATCATTTAGAACAATAATAAATACAAAGTCATGTCTCTAAATGCCTTAAAGTAACTCTGGTGTTCTGTTGGTGGCGGATTAATCCACATTGTAAGTGTTTAGTTTTTACGGATTGTCCCTTTAAAGGTACAGTAAGAAGAGAAGAAGACCTGGTGTACAGTGTTTTACTACAGGGTTCGATGCAGAATAGATCCAGCAAGGGCCAACGTGAGTCTGAACAACAGTGTCTGAAGAGAGGAGCTGTGCAGGTAAACCAGGTAATAGACAGGATCCTGATTTTATCCATCATACCCCTCTGCCGCTTTCTCCATCTTATACATATATATATATATATATATAACATATATATAAAACATATATATCTAAAACTATATATATATAACTATATATAAAACATATATATATAACTATATATATAAAACTATATATATAAAACTATAACTATATATATAAAACATATATATATAAAACTATATATATAAAACTATAACTATATATATAAAACATATATATATAACTATATATATAAAACATATATATATAAAACTATATATATAAAACTATAACTATATATATAAAACATATATATATAACTATATATATAAAACATATATATATAAAACTATATATATAAAACTATAACTATATATATAAAACATATATATATAACTATATATATAAAACTATAACTATATATATAAAACATATATATAAAACTATATATATAAAACATAAAACTATATATATAAAACATACATATAAAACTATATATATATAAAACATATAAACAAAACTCTACCCCATTAACTTTATCATTTCCTCTCAGCCTGTTCTGAAGGACCAGCAAACAGCCAGCAAACAGCCAACAAACACCCAGCAAACAGCCAGGCAACAGCCAACAAACAGCCAGCCAACAGCCAACAAACAGCCAGCAAACAGCCAACAAACAGCCAGCAAACAGCCAGCCAACAGCCAACAAACAGCCAGCAAACAGCCAACAAACAGCCAACAGCCAACAAACAGCCAACAAACACCCAGCAAACGGCCAGCCAACAGCCAACAAACAGCCAACAAACAGCCAACAAACAGCCAGCAAACAGCCAACAAACAACAAACAAACAGCTGGTGCCAGGCAGATCTGTTTACCTTCCAGGCCTCCTCCAAATCTGAGCTCCAGCGCTCCTTCAGGACCGGCTGCACAGCTCGGATAAACTCCGCCCCTACAAACTGGACAGACAGAGTTGTTACCCTCACTCGTGAATCAAACACACCTACAGGACTTCAGCAGCACTGTCTGACAGACACTGAGAGGGTTGGTTTATTTTGGACACCAGTGTTGGTTGTGGTCAGAGGTGTAACCACAATTCAATTCAATTCAATTCAATTGTATTTGTATAGCGCTAATTCATAACAGAAGTTATCTCAGGACACTTTTCAAATAGAGCAGGTCTAGACCGAACTCTTTATAACATTATTTACAGAGACCCAACAGTACCACCATGAGCAAGACCTTGGAGACAAGGGCAAGGAAGAACTGCCTGTTAAAAGGCAGAAACCTCGGACAGATCCTTCGGCTCTAGGTGGGTGGTCGTCTGTCTCGACCAGTTGGGGTGAGAGAGAGAGAGAAAGAGAGAGAGAGAGAGAGAGAGAGAGAGACAGACAGACAGACAGACAGACAGACGCACAGTAACAACAGTATTGGCAATGGAAATCTAGCAGGACCATGGCAGGAGGCTCCACCAGGATCACCAGCAGTGATGTCACAGTGTCCTGCAGTACACCTGTCCCTCACTGCCTCCTGTTGCCATTGGTTACACACTGACTTTGTAGTATTTTGGCAGGGCGTTGTAGCGGTGGTGCTTCCTGCCCAGATCCAGGATCAGCTGGTCCAGACGTTCGTCCTGGTCAATCCTGGCAACTGTCTTCTCAATGAAGGACATGATTCTGCAGAGACCAGAACTGGATCACAGACTGCAGTGAACCAGCAGAGGGCGCTGCTGCACCGCTCTGAATATATATATTATTTAAATACATATATAAATACTGTACAGTATATAATGCACTATATGTACTGTAGATCTGCAGTATATATATATATACTGCTTTAGTACCTGAGTCCGTGGGCTCTCAGCTCTCTGCTGGTCCTCAGAGTCTCCAGATCGTCAACGTCTCTGAACATGAAGAAGACGTCTTTACACTCTGGATGGGTCTCAAACAGCCTGGAAGGAGGAGAAAGAGATCTGTTAACCTTCACAGTAGCTGTATTCGAAACTACTTATTAGACAGTACCAACTAACACAGCACGTACGTAGTACACAGTACACTGCACTTATGTGTATCATCCACTGTGCTCTACAGCCGTGGATCTCAACCTGAACAGATCTCAGAGATATCAGCCGTTTAATGACTTTAAACACAGCAAACTACAGGCTGTAGACTCTGAACCCCAAACTGCTCCTGATGCTGAGCCACTGTATGAGTGTGTGAATGACTGAATCAGAATCAGAATCAGAATCAGAAATACTTTTCGTATTTCTGATTCAACACTCCAATATACAAACATACATACAACATATATAAATACAACATTCAGCACAAAAAATATAAATGTATATATATATAACTATATATATATACTGACTCTCTGAGGGAGGCGTTGTAAAGATTAATTCAATTTAATTCAATTCAATTCAATTCAATTTTATTTGTATAGCGCCAATTCATAACAGAAGTTATCTCAGGACACTTTTAAAATAGAGCAGGTCTAGACTGAACTCTTTATAACATTATTTACAGAGACCCAACAGTACCACCATGAGCAAGACCTTGGAGACAAGGGCAAGGAAAAACTGCCTGATTAATGACCACAGGCAGGAATGATTTCCTGTGGCGCTCTGTAGTGCATCTGGGTGAGAGGAGTCTTCTGCTGAAGGTGCTCCTCTGCTGGGCCAGTGTGTCCTAGAGAGGGTGTGAGACATTGTTCAAGATGGACTGAAGCCTGGACAGCATCCTCCTCTCTGCCACGGTCGTCAGGGTGTCCAGCTCCTCCCCTACGACATCAATTCAATTCAATTCAATTCAATTCAATTTTATTTGTATAGCGCCAATTCATAACAGAAGTTATCTCAGGACACTTTTCAAATAGAGCAGGTCTAGACCGAACTCTTTAAAACATTATCACCGGCCCTCCTGATCAGTTTGCTTAGTCTGTTGTTGTCTGTGACCCCCAGCCCACTGCCCCAGCATGTGACAGCGAAGAAGATCGTACTGGCCACAACAGACTCATAAAACATCCTCAGCATCGTCCGGCAGATGTTAAAGGACCTCAGCCTCCTTAGGAAAAAGAGTCGGCTTTGGCCCTTTTTGTAGACCGCCTCAGTGTTTCTAGTCCAGTCCAGATTATTATTAAAGTACACCCCCAGGTACTTATACTCCTCCACAGTGTCCACAGGGACCCCCTGGATGGAAACAGGGGTCACTGGTGTTTTTGCCCTCCTCAGATCCACTATGAGCTCCTTAGTCTTTGTCACGTTGAGCTGCAGATGATTCAGCTCAGTCCAAGTGACAAAGTTGCCCACCACAGTCCTATATTCACTGTCATCACCCTTATCTATGCAGCCAACTATTGCTGAGTCATCAGAAAACTTCTGAAGGTGGCAGGACTCGGTGCAATAGTTGAAGTCTGAGGTGAAGAGGGTGAAGAGGAAGGGAGAGAGGACAGTCCCCTGTGGGGCCCCAGTGTTGCTGACCACCCTGTCAGACACATAGTTCTGTAGGCGTACGTACTGTGGTCTGCCCATCAACAAATGATTGTAATCAACAATCCAGGACACGATGGGGGCCTCCACCTGCATCGCAGCCATCTTCTCACCCAGTAGAGCTGGACGGATGGTGTTGAAACACTGGAGAAGTCGCAGAACATGACTCTCACAGTGCTCGCTGGCTTATCCAGATGAGTGTAGACTCTGTTCAGCAGGTAGATGATGCTGTCCTCAACTCCCAGGCGGGGCTGGTAGGCGAACTGCAGTGGATCGGTGAAGGGCCTGACCATAGGCCTTAGCTGCTCCAGGACGAGCCTCTCCAGGGTCCAGGTGACAGTGGGGGGAGGGGTGAGGTCCTCAGGTTGTGGAGGACATGATGTAGAGCAGGGGGGAGGGGTGGAGTAGGTGGGTGTGAATTGAGGTGGTGAGGAGCAGACAAGGGGTCTGTAAGGAGGAGGAGTAGGGGGAGATAAAGTGGCAGTTGTTGGGTAGCCAGCAGCAGAGACTTGTGGGGGATGGGCCGCAGTATCAAACCTATTGAAAAATAGGTTCAGTTCATTGGCCCGGTCGACATGGCCCTCCAACCCCATGCCACCAGTCTTCTGGAACCCAGTGATGGTTCTCATGCCACTCCACACATCCCTCATGTTGTTTCGCTGGAGTTTACTCTCCAGCTTCTCCTATATTTGTCTTTTGCCTCCCTGATTTTGAGTTTGAGTACCCCCTGAACTCTCCTCACCTCATCACGGTTGCCATCTCTGAACGCCCTCTTCTTCTGATACAGGATGGCCTTAATGTCCTTAGTGAACCAAGGTTTATTGTTGGCGTAACAGGTTACAGTCCGAGCTGGGACATTGCAGTCCACACAGAAGTTGATATAGTCCGTGATGCACTCTGTGAGCCCGTCAATGTCCTCCCCTTGGGGCTCACAGAGTGCAGGCCAGTCAGTCACTTCAAAGCAGGCCTGCAGTGTCTCATAAGCCTCCTCCGACCACCTCCTCGCAATCCTTGTGGTCGTAGGCTTCCTCTTCACCAGAGGCACATAGCAGGGTTTGAGGTGAACCAGGTTGTGATCTGACCTGCCCAGAGGGGGGAGAGAAGAGGAGAGGTATGTATCCTTAATGTTAGCATCAGGTCCGGTCCTCTCCTCTCTGGTAGGACAGCTCACGTACTGTTTGAAAGTCGGCAGAACTCTATCCATGGTGACGTGATTAAAGTCTCCCCACATGATGATGAGGGCACTTGGGCGTTGAGTTTGAAGTTTGGAGATGGTGGTGTGTATGATGCTGCAGGCAGATGTTGGGTTTGCAGAGGGATGGATGTACAGGACAACGATGGTGACATGCAGGATCTCTCTAGGTAGATAGTATGGACGGAGTCCAACGGCCAGCAGTTCAACATCTGGGCTACAGAGCTGTTAATTAATGGTGATATGACCAGGGTTACACCATCTGCTGTTTACTAGAACAGCAAGCCCCCTCCTTTCCGCTTACCGCTCTCGGTATCCCGGTCCGCCCGGACGGTGTGGAAGCCATCAACGGAGACGATCTGGTCTGTAATGTCCCTGTGCAGCCATGTCTCTGTGAAACACATCAGACTGCACTCACAGTACTCCGGGTGGGTCCGCGTCAGCGCCGTTAGCTCGTCCATTTTGTTGAGACCGCACATCCACCATAACAACAGAGGGGAGACACAGCTTAAATCTTCTCCTCTCCATAAGCCCGTCCCGTCTCGACCCTCCTTTCATCCCCCAACGTTGCTTCCCTCCTCTGCAACCTCGTGTGTTTTCCTCCAGAGTTCAGGTTGTATATCAGCTGGTCTGGCCACTACGCCGGCCGGCATTAGTGCGATCAGCTGTTCTCCAGAGTAAACAACGGCAGCGTGTCCCGGTGGAAGCGGCATGATAAAAACAACACAAAAAAAGCACGAAAACTCTCTGAAAACGACCTCGTTAGAGAGGACAAAACTTCACAGAGTTACAGTGAAGAAACAAGAACAGACAAAAGAGAATAAAAGTTAAGAAAATTTAAAAAAGCGAACTCAAAGGCTGGAGCAACGTAAAAGGCAGCTTGCAGCTTTCGCGCATGCGCACATAGAATGTGAGTGTAGACAAAAGAGCTCTGAGTGGTCTATATAAAAAACTTCCCTCTCACCCTCTTGGGGTGGTATCTGTGTCATCCTCAAGCTTGGGCCCTCTACCAGAGGCCTGGTAGTTTGAGGGTTCTGCGCAGTATCTAGCTGTTCCTAGGACTGCACTCTTCTGGACTGAGGCTTCTGATGTTGTTCCTGGGATCTGTTGGAGCCACTCCCCCAGTTTTGGGGTCACTGCCACGGGGACCACGCTCGCCTTGACCTTCCACATCTGCTCCAGCTGTTCTTTGAGCCAACTGTTCTGGATGTTGACTTGGGCAATTGGCTTTGAGTCGGCTTCTAGGGTTCTCTTCCACATTCCCATCGAGTTCTGGATGAAGGCCCTTAGGTCCTGAAAAGTCAGCTGAATGGCAGGAACAAGATCCAAGCTAAGCAGAAAGAGGGAGGCCGAGGACCAGTGAGCATCAAGATCACCATCCAGTGTACAGGAACATCTGTACCCAGTACGGAATAGAAGTACCCAAATCCCAATGGGCCGCACCACAGAAGATGGCTGAGAACAACAGGGCCAAGGTACTGTGGGACTTCAGCTTCCAGACTTCGGAATTGGTACCCGTAACCACTCTTTGTGATGATCTGACTGAGGGGGTTCAGGCCTATGCAGAAAAGCAGTGGTGATTGGTATATGCCGCATTTGATGTTGACTTGGGCAATTGGCTTTGAGTCGGCTTCTAGGGTTGTCTTCCACATTCCCATCGAGTTCTGGATGAAGTCCCTTAGGTCCTGAAAAGTCAGCTGAATGGCAGGAACAAGATCCAAGCTAAGCGGAAAGAGGGAGGCCGAGGACCAGTGAGCATCAAGGCCACCATCCAGTGTACAGGAACATCTGTACCCAGTATGGAATAGAGACACCCAAATCCCAATGGGCCGCACCACAGAAGATGGCTGAGAACAACAGGGCCAAGGTACTGTGGGACTTCAACTTCCAGACTGAAAAACAGGTCCTGGCTAACCAACCAAACATAGTGGTGGTAGACAAGGAGCAGAAGAAGGCGGTGGTGATAGATGTGGCCATACCAGCAGACGCCAACATCAGAAAGAAGGAACACGAAAAGGTTGAAAAGTACCAAGGGTTGAAAGATCTTGCCCAAGGATCCTCACTGGATGCAGTTGTATTTTCCCCTCACTGGCAGCAATTACATCATATATGCTCCCAACCGGGATTCAAACCCCGACCTCCCGTGTGGTAGTCTGCGTCTCTCTATATATATATATGTATATATATATGTACAGTCTGTTTACCAGCCCAGGCCCAGTTCCCGCAGTAATAACAGAATGTATTTCCATGTGTTATTGTGCTTTTAGGACTGAAGGTAACTGAAGGTGGTCGCTGCTGAACACCAACAAGGAGACGGCCATAAAGCCCAGCTGGAGGTTCAGAGCCCTACAGACCGATGGGAGACCACAGAGCCCCACAGACCGATGGGGGACCACAGAGCCCCACAGACCGACGGGGGACCACAGAGTCCCAGTGTCCGCTGACTTTGATCTGAAGGTCGACCTTATTAGTTCTTCATCACACTGTGTTTGTGTGTTTGTGTCTATACATAAAAACACCATGAGCATCCTACAGAGCAGCCACACCCGCACTCTCATTACCCAGAATCCCACTGTGCACAGAGAGAGGTGGATATATAAGTGAATGCCAGTGACGATGATGATGATAAACACCAGCAGACTGTCCAACAGCCCCCCCCCCCTTTCTGTTGGTTGTTGGTTGATTTTGCTGTTTACAGTTGTTGTTGTTGTTGTTTACTAGCATGTAAAGTCTATTTATAGAGGAGGCACACTTTTCAGTTAATAATCAATAATCCATCAATATAAACAACTGTAGTCTTCTCAAACTGAAACTTTATATAGAGCTTTCTGCCTCATTATCAACTTTTATTAATGAATTAAATTTATATAGTATTTATATAATAATACTGTTTACTTATAATATTAATGTTTATATAATAATACTGTTTATTTATAATATTGATGTTTACAGAATAATACTGTTTATTTATAATATTAATATTTATATAATAATACTGTTTATTTATAATATTAATGGTTATATAATAACACTTTTTATTTATAATATGAATGTTTATATAATAATACTGTTTATTTATAATATGAATGTTTATAATAATAATAATTAGTAATTTACTGATTAGTAATTTCTATGTTTATGTAATATTTTGTGAATATTTCTCCAGATGTTTTAATGATAAAATTACATAAACAGGACCGTAATCAGTGACTGATCAATAATCGATAATATTGGACCCACCTGATGAACATGATGACTCCAACCCTGCTGATGTCGTCCTGGATCTCCTTCCAGCTTTGTTTGATCACCTGTCGGCTCTCTGCACTCAGACTCACCTGGACTGCCTCACCTTCCTCCTCCTCCTTCTCCTCCTTCTCCTCATCAACCGGCGGCCCGGAGCCCGGAGCCTCCGTCGAGGGAAAGCAGCCCATCTTAAACACACCGCAAACAGCTCCTGAACGCAGCACTGCTGCAGCGGCCACAGACTGAGAGAACCAGCAGCAAATGAATGAGTGTGTGTCCGGATACTTCACACACACACACACACACACACACACACACACACACACACACACTCACACACACACACACACACACACACCACACACCACACACACACACACACACTCAACACACACACACACACACACACACACACACTCACACACACACACACACACACACACACACACACACACACACACACACACACACACACACACACACTCACACACACTCACACACACACTCACAAACACACACACACAAACACACACACACACTCACACACACACACACACACACACACTCACACACACTCACACACACACACACACACACACACACACACACACACACACACACACACACACACTCACACACACTCACACACACACTCACACACACGCACACACACTCACACACACTCACACACACACTCACAAACACGCACACACAAACACACACACACACTCACACACACACACACACACACACACACAGTCACACACACACACACAGCCTACAGATGACGTCAGCCTTCATCAGTTTAAAGCTGGACTGTTTGCAGCTTTAATATTTTAACCTTCTTTATGTTTTTAATGACTGCTGATTTAAATAAAGTTTAAAACACTTTTTATTGATTTAACATGTTTTTATGGAGTTCAGATCAATAACCTTCATACAAACAATCACATATATGTTTATATCCAGATCGCCGTCCCAGAATCCTCCGGGGCCCCTCGACCCTCCAGACGACTAATCAAATTTTCTCGTTTGGATCTTCTCGTCGTTTATTCGCTCAGTCTGTCCTGATCTGACTCCGCCCCTGGCCTGGAGGAGGGGCTACATGTGAGCTGGCCCCGCCCCTCCCATCATCACAGAGACCTTCACACTGATTGGCTGAGAGTAAAGAGGTTTTAAACTCCGCCCATCACCTGTTCCTGTGGCTCCGCCTGCTCCACAAGTACCCCTGACCCTGGAACAAAAACACCTGATGATGTCACTGCAGCTCAGGTACACACTGCTGATCAAACACTAAGTTATAATAAAACAGGAAGTCACCTGTCACCTGGGGGTGACCTTCTGTGACATCACTGCTGACATCATCAGGAGGCCAGCGGAGCTCTCCACTCTCCACCTCTCCTCCGTCTGTCGGCTCCACCACGATGGACGGCAGGCGCCTGGAAAGTTTTGGAAAACGCTCCGAGGAGTCATTGAACACCTGGAGGAGGAACAGACCAATCAGAAAGCTTGAGACAGATTCACCTGTTGGTACCTGAACTCACTTAAATGGATGGTCGCGCTAACAGGTAGTGCCTCACCTGGAAGTCCTCTCCAGAAGCTCCGCCCACTGTGGAGTCACAGGTGTTCATCTCCTTCAGCCAATCAGAATGCAGAGACGGCAGGAGACAGGAAGCTGAGAGCAGACAAAATAAAATTACAAAATAAAGAATCTGACCTCTATCCTCTGACCTCTGACCTGTATCCTCTGACCTCTTATCAATATGCTCTGACCTCTGACCTCTGACCTCTATCCTCTGCCCTCTGACCTCTGACCTGTATTCTCTTACCTCTTATCAATATGCTCTGACCTCTATCCTCTGACCTCTGACCTGTATCCTCTGACCTCTTATCAATATGCTCTGACCTCTGACCTGTATCCTCTGACCTCTTATCAATATGCTCAGACCTCTGACCTCTATCCTCTGACCTCTGACCTCTGACCTGTATCCTCTGACCTCTTATCAATATGCTCTAACCTCTATCCTCTGACCTCTGACCTCTGACCTGTATTCTCTGATCTCTTATCAATATGCTCTGCCCTCTGACCTCTGACCTCTGACCTGAACCAGGAGTAAAGGCAGTGTGAGGTCCTTTCTCCGGTTTGATCCAGCCTGATGCTCAGACTCAGTGTGCAGTCAAATCCATGGAAATGAGCTCAGTCTGCCCGTGGCATGCTGGGATACATGACATCACCCAAACAAGTGTGTGACCTCAAACCGTCAGTGCTGACTGCCAGGAACAACTGACTCGTTCTGTGGTTTCGGTTCCTGACAGGCTGCAGTGGTTCCCAGAAAGGTTCTGTTGTTCTTGTGTGGTTCCTGACCAGTGTCAGGCTCGTTACTCAAAAAATTTATTTTTCTTTCAAAAGTAATATTACTACTTTACTTATTACTCCCTGCCAACAGTAATTAGTTACTCTACCTGTTATATTACTTTCTGCTTCTCAAAGTAATGGAATATTTCCACCTGCTCAATGTTTCATCTTCCAAACTAACTTCCTCCATGATTGCAATCTGAGGGTGCGATCAGATACAGGCCTTCATCAAGAACTCCCTTCCAGGAGAAAATGAGTTCAGGTGACAGAATTTATAGGAATAGAATCTACTTGATGATCCCATATACAGTCATACACAATGAGAGCAGCACACAGGCTCCAGATCTGCACCACTGTTCAATGCCACTGACTGTAGAATGGACCTAACATACATGTTTGACTGTGGGGGAAACCCATGCAAACACAGGGAGGGCCCCAGCTGGGAATGGAATCCAGCACCTTCTTGCTGTGAGGCCTCAGTGGTCCTTGAAAGGTTCAGTTCTGGTGTATATATTCTCTTTTTATTTAAGGTGCATCTTATACCTTCTTATTGTATCTGGAGCTGCTGTAATGAGCAATTTCCCCACTGTGCGATCAGTAAAGTCTGTCTGATCTGATCTGTCATTAAGGCACTTTCTTTACAGGGTTTTAGAGTTCTTGGTGGACTGTCAGGGTCGGTCCCAGTCCAATTGCAGTGCATCATTCTCCTGGAGCTGCTGTGATAATATAGTGCTATTACACATTTACAACAGCAGGTGGCAGTGCTGTAACCTCACCCTGAACTGTTTACTTCTTAATCTATCTATGTGTGTTTTAGCCTTTGGAAAGAAGAGTTCAAGAGTTCTTTACTGGGTTCAGAGAAAAAGGTTCTTGTGTTGACTCAAGAAGTACTAAAGAGCATTGAACAGTTTTCCTCAGCAGCTCCTGAGAGGCTTTCATACATTACTTGAGAGGTTTTCAGGTGGTCAAGATGTAGTTCAAGCAATCCTTGAGGTGCCAGGAAGTCCTGGAAGAGGTTCCTCAGTTTACTCAGAAGGGTCCAGGGATTCTTACAAGGGTCCAGGGTTCCAGGGGTTGCAGACAGGTAAATAAACAGATATATGTTCTCTGCAGGTTGATCCGTGAACACACAGAAGGAAAAGTGAAGTCAGTCCACTGAGATCAGATTGGATCAGTAAGATAAACCTGGAAACTCCTGGATTATTTAACACCATTAATGAGTCCTTTTTTCCACTGGAGGAACGAACCCTGAACACATCAAAAGCTCTGTTACCATGACGACTTGCACGTTAGATTAACTTCCTGTTGTCAACAACAAATGTTGGCTTCACTTCACCATGAAATAATTTGAACAAAAAGTAAGAAAACATGAACAAATCCTCCACTCAAAGTCTCTATGTAGTTTATATAGCGGTAGTAATACTACTGTAGTTCTACTGTAGTACACACCCTGTAGTACTCACTGTAGTACTCACTGTAGGACACACTGTAGTTCTACTGTAGTACACACCCTGTAGTACTCACTGTAGTACTCACTGTAGGACACACTGTAGTTCTACTGTAGTTCTACTATAGTACACATACTGTAGTTCTACTGTAGTGCTACTGTAGTTCTCCTGTAGTACACACCCTGTAGTACTCACTGTAGTACACGCTATAGTTCTACTGTAGTACACGCTGTAGTTCTACTGTAGTTCTACTATAGTACACATACTGTAGTTCTACTGTAGTTCTACTCTAGTACTCACACTGTAGTTCTACTGTAGGTACTATAGTACTCACACTGTAGTTCTACTGTAGTTCTACTGTAGTACACACAGTAGTGCTCACTGTAGTACTCACTGTAGTACACACTGTAATTCTACTGTAGTTCTACAGTAGTTCTACTGTAGTACTCACTGTAGCACACACACTGTAGTACTCACTGTTGTACTCACTGTAGTACACACTTTAGTACACACATTGTAGTTCTACTGTGGTTCTACTGTAGTACACACTGTAGTACTCACTGTAGTACACACTGTAGGACACACTGTAGTACTCACTGTAGTACTCACTGTAGTTCTACCGTAGTTCTACTGTAGTACACACAGTGTAGTTCTACTCTAGCACTCACTGTAGTACTCACTGTAGTACACAGGGTAGTACACACACTTTAGTTCTACTGTAGTTCTACTGTAGTTCTACTGTAGTACACACACTGTAGTACACACTGTAGTACTCACTGTAGTACTCACTGTAGTTCTCACTGTAGTTCTACTGTAGTACACACTGTAGTACCACTGTAGTACTCACTGTAGTTCTACTGTAGTACACACTGTAGTTCTACTGTAGTTCTACTGTAGTACACACACTGTAGTACTCACTGTAGTACACACTGTAGTACTCACTGTAGTACTCACTGTAGTTCTACCGTAGTTCTACTGTAGTACACACACTGTAGTTCTACTCTAGCACTCACTGGAGTTCTACTGTAGTACACACTAATGTACTCACACGGTAGTACTCACTGTAGTACACATTGTAGTACACACTGTAGTACTCACTGTAGTTCGACTGTAGTTCTACTGTAGTACACACTGTAGTAATCACTGTAGGTCTACTGTAGAACACACTGTAGTTCACACTAGAGTTCTACTGTAGTTCTACTGTAGTACTCACTGTAGTAAACACTGTAGTTCTACCATAGATCTACTCTAGTACTCACACTGTAGTTCTACTGTAGTTACTGTAGTACTCACACTGTAGTTCTCCTGTAGTTCTACTGCAGTACACACAGTAGTTCTACTGCAGTACACACAGTAGTACTCACTTTGGTACCCACTGTAGTACACACTGTAGTTCTACTGTAGTAAACACTGTAGTTCTACTGTAGTACTCACTGTAGTTCTACTGTAGTTCTACGGTAGTTCTACTGTAGTACTCACTGTAGTACACACTTTAGTACACACACTGTAGTTCTACTGTAGTTCTACTGTACTCACTGTAGTTCTACTGTAGTACTCACTGTAGTACACACTGTAGTACACACACTTTAGTTCTACTGTAGTACTCACTGTAGTTCTACTGTAGTTCTACTGTAGTACACACTGTAGTACACATTTTAGTTCTACTGTAGTACTCACTGTAGTTCTCACTGTAGTTCTACTGTAGTACACACTGTAGTACCACTATAGTACTCACTGTAGTTCTACCGTAGTACACACTGTAGTTCTACTGTAGTACTCACTGTAGTTCTACTGTAGTACACACACTGTAGTACACACACTGTTGTACACACTGTAGTACTCACTGTAGTACACACTGTAGTACTCACTGTAGTACTCACTGTAGTTCTACTGTAGTACACACTGTAGTACCACTGTAGTACTCACTGTAGTTCTACTGTAGTACACACTGTAGTTCTACTGTAGTACTCACTGTAGTTCTACTGTAGTACACACTATAGTACTCACTGTAGTACACACTGTTGTACCACTGTAGTACTCACTGTAGTTCTACTGTAGTTTTATGGTAGTACACACTATAGTACACACTGTAGTTCTACTGTAGTACTCACTGTAGTTCTACTGTAGTACTCACTGTAGTACACACACTGTAGATCTACTGTAGTACACACTGTAGTACTCACACTGTAGTTCTACTGTAGTTCTGCTGTAGTTCTACTGCAGTACATACTGTAGTACACACACTGTAGTTCTACTGTAGTTCTACTGTAGTACACACAATAGTACTCACTGTAGTACACACTGTAGTACCACTGTAGTACTCACTGTAGTTCTACTGTAGTTCTACGGCAGTACACACTTTAGTACTCACTGTAGTACACACTGTAGTACTCACTGTAGTACACACACTGTAGTACTCACTGTAGTACAAACTGTAGTTCTACTGTAGTACTCACTGTAATGCTCACTGTAGTTCTACTGTAGTTCTACTGTAGTACACACACTGTAGTACCACTGTAGTACTCACTGTAGTTCTACTGTAGTACCCAGTGTAGTACACACACTGTAGTAAACACTATCGTACAAACTGTAGTGCTCACTGTAGTACTCACTGTACCTCTACTGTAGTTCTATTGTAGTTCTACTGTAGTACTCACTGTAGTACTCACTGTAGTACTCACTGTAGTACAAACTGTAGTACAAACTGTAGTGCTCACACTGTAGTTCACGAGTTCGCGAGTTCACTAGAATACTGAGACACACACGTAGTTCACGTAGTCACGTAGACACACAATATACCCTGTAGTACACACGTAGTACCACCGTAGTACCACGTAGTTCTACTTACACACTTTAGTACCACTGTAGACACACTGTAGTACCACTGTAGTACACACACTAGTACCACTGTAGTACAAACGTAGTTCTACTGTAGTACCACTGTAATGCTCACTGTAGTTCACTGTAGTTCTACTGTAGTACACACACGTAGTACCACTGTAGTACCACTGTAGTTCACGTAGTACCCAGTGTAGTACACACACTGTAGTAAACACTATCGTACAAACTGTAGTGCTCACTGTAGTACTCACTGTAGTCTCTACTGTAGTTCTCTACTGTAGTTCTACTGTAGTACTCACTGTAGTACTCACTGTAGTACAAACTGTAGTACAAACTGTAGTGCTCACTGTAGTACTCACTGTAGTACTCACTGTAGCTCTACTGTAGTTCTACTGTAGTTCTACTGTAGTATTCACTGTAGTACTCACTGTAGAACTCACTGTAGTACACACACTGTAGTACCCAGTGTAGTACACACACTGTAGTAAACACTGTCGTACAAACTGTAGTGCTCACTGTAGTGCTCACTGTAGTACTCACTGGACCTCTACTGTAGTTCTATTGTAGTTCTACTGTAGTACTCACTGTAGTACACACTGTAGTACACACTGTAGTACTCACTGTACCTCTACTGTAGTTCTATTGTAGTTCTACTGTAGTACTCGCTGTAGTACACACTGTAGTACTCGCTGTAGTACTCGCTGTAGTACACGCTGTAGTACTCACTGTCGTACACACTGTAGTACTCACTGTAGTACTCACTGTACTTCTACTGTACTTCTACTGTACTTCTACTGTAGTACTCACTGTAGTACACACACTGTAGTACACACTGTAGTACTCACTGTAGCACTCACTGTGTAGTCCAAACTGTACTTCTACTGTAGTTCTCCTGTAGTACTCACTGTAGTACACACTGTAGTACACACTGTAGTACTCGCTGTAGTACTCACTGTAGTTCACACTGTAGTACTCACTGTAGTACACGCAGTAGTACTCACTGTAGTACACACTGTAGTACTTACTGTAGTACACACTGTAGTACTCGCTGTAGTACACGCTGTAGTACACACTGTAGTACTCGCTGTAGTACACACTGTAGTACTTACTATAGTACACGCTGTAGTACACACTGTAGTACACACTGTAGTACTTGCTGTAGTACACGCTGTAGTATTCGCTGTAGTACACGCTGTAGTACAAACTGTAGTACTCACTGTATGCTGGTACTCACTGAACACTGTAGTACTGAACGCTGTAGTACACGCTGTAGTACACACTGTAGTACACACTGTAGTACTTGCTGTAGTACACGCTGTAGTATTCGCTGTAGTACACGCTGTAGTACAAACTGTAGTACACACTGTAGTACTCACTGTAGTACACACTGTAGTACACACTGTAGTACATGCTGTAGTACACGCTGTAGTACAAACTGTAGTACTAACTGTAGTACTCACTGTAGTCCACACTGTAGTACTCAGTGTAGTACAAACTGTAGTACTCAGTGTAGTACACACACTGTAGTACACACACTGTAGTACTCACTGTAGTACTTACTGTAGTACAGACACTGTAGTACACACACTGTAGTACTCACTGTAGTACTCACACTGTAGTACTCACTGTAGTGCTCACTGTAGTTCTACTATAGTAAACACTGTAGTTCTACTGTAGTACTCACTGCAGTTCTACTGTAGTTCTACGGTAGTTCTACTGTAGTACTCACTGTAGTACTCACTATAGTACACACACTGTAGTACACACTGTAGTACTCACTATAGCACTCACTGTAGTACAAACTGTACTTCCACTGTAGTACTCACTGTAGTACACACTGTAGTACACACTGCAGTATTTTACTGTAGTACTCACTGTAGTACACACTGTAGTACACACTGCAGTATTTTACTGTAGTACTCACTGTAGTACATGCTGTAGTACACACTTTAGTACACGCTGTAGTACTTACTGTAGTACTCGCTGTAGTACTCGCTGTAGTACTCGCTGTAGTACTCACTGTAGTACACACTGTAGTACTCACTGTAGTACACACTGTAGTACACACTGTAGTACATGCTGTAGTACACACTTTAGTACACGCTGTAGTACTTACTGTAGTACAAGCTGTAGTACTCGCTGTAGTACACGCTGTAGTACTCGCTGTAGTACACGATGTAGTACACACTTTAGTACACACTGTAGTACAAGCTGTAGTACTCGCTGTAGTACACGCTGTAGTACCTACTGTAGATGATGATGATGATGATGATGATGATGATGATTGTGAAGATGATGATGATGATGGTGAAGATGATGATGATGATGAAGCAGTAAACAATAATAATCCTCAGAGAAGTGAAGCTTGTTGGTGTTCAGACAGACAGACTGACTGCTGTTCAGTTCCTCTCAATTCAAATTCAGGTGTCTCTTCCTCTCTCTCTCTCTCTCTCTCTCTGTGTGTGTGTGTGTGTGTGTGTGTGTGTGTGTGTGTGGTTTTGCATGTCATCCTGATTTGAATCAATCTGGTGTGATTTGGTTTCAGAGTCGTCTCAGTTTATTTGTCTACTACTATACTATGATATACTATAATATACTATAATAAACTATAATGTAATATAATACACTATAATGTACTATAATATACTATAATGTACTATAATATACTATAATATACTATAATGTACTATAATATACTATAATGTACTATAATATACTATAATGTACTATAATATACTATAATAAACTATAATGTAATATAATACACTATAATGTTCTATAATGTACTATAATATACTATAATGTTCTATAATATACTATAATGTTCTATAATATACTATAATACACTATAATGTTCTATAATATACTATAATACACTATAATGTTCTATAATATACTATGATGTACTATAATATACTATAATGTTCTATAATATACTATAATACACTATAATAAACTACAATATAATATAATGTACTATAATACACTATAATGTACTATGATATAGTATAATGTACTATAATACACTATAATATACTATAATGTACTATAATACACTATAATGTACTATGATATAGTATAATGTACTATAATACACTATAATATACTATAATGTACTATAATACACTATAATGTACTATAATATACTATAATGTACTATAATATACTATAATGTTCTATAATATACTATAATGTACTATAATATACTATAATGTTCTATAATATACTATAATGTTCTATAATATACTATAATGTACTATAATATACTATAATGTTCTATAATATACTATAATATACTATAATGTACTATAATATACTATAATGTTCTATAATGTACTATAATATACTATAATGTTCTATGATATACTATAATACACTATAATGTTCTATAATAAACTATAATATACTATAATACACTTCAAAAGCCAATGAGGTTGTTCTCCTCTGTCCAGTCATCAGATAAAACCCGCCCCATTTTAGATAAAGCCCTGTGATTCGTCCAACTCTGAGAGAGACAGGTGAGATAGGTGAGCTGACATTGTGCAGACAGACACTTAACTCTGCTCTGTGACCTCTGACCTGATCAGACTCCTCCATCTATTATTGACATATATCTATCACAGCTGCATCAATTATTACCAGCTGACCAATGATCGACTTACACACACTCTCTCACACAGTGCTCATCCTGGTACACAGGGAACTCCCAGAACCACGATACATGGGCCAAACACCCAAAACCACAATGCACGGGCCGAACTCCCAGAACCACAATACACGGGCCGAACTCCCAGAACCACAATACACGGGCCGAACTCCCAGAACAACGAAACACAGGCTGAACATTGGACAGGTAAACATTGGACAGGTAAACATTGGAGTTTTGATGTTTATGAATGAATATTGTAAAAATATGAATGCTGTACAGAGGATACAGTGAAGGTCTGATATAAAAATAATGTAATAATAATTAAACACAGTGTCCGCAGTCTGTCAGTACTGCTCATAATCCCTCCTGTCTGTCAATCACTTCTTTAATTTGATGAAAATGATCTCCTGACCCCCTTTAGGGTGCTGACCCTCAGGTTGAGAACCACAGAGAAAGAGGATGAGGAGGATGCAGAGGAGGAAGGAAAGTGAAAGTGAAAGTGAAACCAGCTCTCAGATGCTCAGACACACTCGGACTGTTCACACCCTCTGACACAGTTTTGCAGTGATCCACATTCTGGATCATCTGGACCCTGCTCTTAAAGACACTGCAGGTTCTGGTTGAGGTGGATCCTAGTCCTGATCATGTGGGGTACTTTGAGGTCCAGCAAGACTCAGCAGAACGGTGGAGGTGAGAACAAGAGAAGGATGATGGTGATGATGATGATAGAAATATTGATGAAGATGATGATGATGTCCAATGGTCATGTGATGAGCAGCCAGTAATAGATAGATAGATAGATAGATAGATAGATAGATAGATAGATAGATAGATAGATAGATAGCAGCCAGGTACATTTAAATACAAAAATAATAATACTATTAATAAAAAAAGATAAATAGGTGGGTAAGGTGCAAAGAAGTTGTAGTTGCAAGATGGTGGTAATAGTACTGATGACGTGATGGTAGTGTTATTGTTAATAACAGTAAATAACAATATTAATAATGATAATATTAATACTAATAATATTAAAAATAATAATAATGATAAATAATAATAATAATAATAATAATAATAATGATGGTGGAGAACAAGAGAGGATGATGGTGATGATGATGATAGAAATATTGATGAAGATGATGATGATGTCCAATGGTCATGTGTTGAGCAGCCAGTAATAAGAATTTTAAAATAACAATAATAATAATAATGATAATAAGGATAATAATAATTAAAAATAATAATAATAATAATAATGAATGTGACAGGGAGCTGCAGTGTGAGCTATTGTCCTGCAGGAGGCGCTGTTGACCAGGAGATCTACTTTCTTCTATTCAGCATTAATATGAGATTGTTCTACACATATACAACATTATTATTAATGTATTAGTTATTAAGTAAATACAATCAACACTAAAAGATATAAAAGGCCTGTTTAATCTTCATCATCATCATCAGGAAACGATCCACAAACAGCTGGTTGTGTGTTACTGTAGTCTTTATTGATATTGATCTGCACTGAATGATGATCAGCTGTAGCCACACAGACAGACAGGCAGACAGGCAGACAGACAGGCAGGCAGACAGACAGACAGGCAGACAGGCAGGCTCCACATCATCGTATATAACTCCGCCCCTCCTCCGGGCTGCTCCACCAGTGAATCAAACGAGAGGAGATGAAAGGTAGGAGGAAGTTGCTTTTAACACTAAACTTGTGTCGATCATCACCTGATAATCACCGGATATGATATGAACGCTTTATTGATCCGTTTGGTCGTGAGCGGAGTGACGCATTCAGTGTTCCGTCGGCTTTGACGTCAGTTATTGATTAGCTGTTCCAGGTTGTTTTCTGTCTGCGCCATATTATTATTATAATAATATTATTATCATTATTATTATCATTATCTATATCTCTATATAGCTATATATCTTTATCTATATCTATATGTACAGTCAAGCCCGAAATTATTCATAGCCCTGGCAAATTGTGACTTAAAGTTACTTTTATTCAACCAGCAAGTTTTTTCTTGATTGGAAATGACACAGGCGTCTCCCAGAAGATAATAAGACGATGTACAAGAGGCATCATTGTGGAAAACAATATTTCTCAGCTTTTATTTACATTTCAACAAAAAGTGGCACATCCAAAATTATTCATACCTTCTCAATAATCAATAGAAAAGCCTTTACTGGCTATTACAGCAATCAAACGCTTCCTATAGTTGCTGACCAGCTTCAGTCTCCACTGGTATTTTTGCCCATTCATCTTTAGCGATGAGCTCCAACTCTTTCAGGTTGGAGGGTCTCCCTGCCATCACCCTGATCTTTTAGCTCCCTCCACAGATTCTCAATTGGATTCGAGTCAGGACTCTGACTGGGCCACTGCAAAACGTTAATGTGTTTGTCCGCTAACCATTTCTTCACCACTGTTGCTGTGTGTTTTGGGTCGTTGTCGTGCTGAAATCTCCACTGGTGCCCAAGGCCAAGTTTCTCTGCAGACTGCCTGATGATGTTGTTGTTGAGAATCTTGATCTATTGCTCTTTTTTCATGGTGCCGTTTACTGTGATTAGGTTCTGTGGTCCATTGGCTGAAAAACACCCCAAAAGCATTAGGTTCCCACCACCGTGTTTGACAGTGGGGATGGTGTTCTTAGGGTTGAAGGCTTCTCCTTTTTTACGCCAAATGAATCATTGTGGCCAAACAATTCAATTTTTGTTTCATCTGACCATAAAACAGAAGACCAGAAGTCTTCTTCTTTGTCCAGATGAGCATTTGCAAAGGCCAAGCTGGCTTTTGTGTGCCTTATCTGGAGAAATGGTGTCCTCCTTGGTCTGTGTCCGTGGAACCCAGCAGTGTGCAGTGACGGTTTAACTGTCTGCCTTGATATGTTGCCACCAGCAGAGCCCAGATTCACCAGGGTGGCCTTGGTGGTGATCCTTGGATTCTTTTTCACCTCTCTCACTATCCTCCTGGCCAGCACAGGTGTCACTGTAGGCTTCCGACCAAGTCCTCTGAGATTTCCCACAGTGCAGAATGTCTTGTATTTTTTAATAATACTTTGCACTGTAGCCACTGGAACTTGAAAACATTTAGATATGGCCTTATAGTCCTTTCCTGACCTATGAGCAGCCACAATGTGCAGCCACAGGCTAGCTGTGACTGTCCACAAACCAACTGCAGAGAACTGCTGTTTTTCACCTGTTGAGTTGATTAAAAAAAACAGCTGTTCCCAATGAATCAGGGTCATTAGGATGCTTCAGAACAGCTTGGACTATTTGGAATGATGACTGTGACAGTTTGCAAAGATTATGAATAATTTTGGACATGCCACTTTTTGTTCAAATGTAAATAAAAGCTAAGAAATATTTTTTTCCACAATGATGCCTCTTGTACATCGTCTTATTATCTTTTGGGAGATGCCTGTGTCATTTCCGGTCCAAAATAAACTTGCTGGTTGAATAAAAGTAATTCAGGGGTATGAATAATTTCAGGCTTGACTGTATATATATATATATATATATATCTTTATCTATATCTTTATCTTTATCTATAGCCATATCTTTAACTTTAACTTTATCTATATCTATATCTTTATCTATATCCCTATCTATATCTTCATCTTTATCTTTATCTATAGCTTTATCTTTATCTTTATCTTTATCTATATTTTTATCTATATCTATATCTTTATCTATATCCCTATCTATATCTTCATCTTTATCTTTATCTATAGCTTTATCTTTATCTTTATCTTTATCTATATCCCTATCTATATCTTTATCTTTATCTATATTTTTATCTATATCTATATCTTTATCTATATCTATATCTATATCTTTATCTATATCTATATCTATATTTTTATCTTTATCTATATCTATATCTATATCTATATCCCTATCTATATCTTCATCTTTATCTTTATCTATAGCTTTATCTTTATCTTTATCTTTATCTATATCCCTATCTATATCTTTATCTTTATCTATATTTTTATCTATATCTATATTTTTATCTATATCTATATCTATATCTATATCTTTATCTATATCTTTATCTATATTTATCTTTATCTATATCTATATCTATATCTATATCTTTATCTATATCTATATCTATATCTTTATCTATATCTTTATCTATATATATATCTATATCTTTACAACTCAAACCAAACTCCATTCAAAAGATTTCATATTTTAAATCCTAAAAGTCACTGATTCCACCTTTCACCTGTTTTTTTAAAGTCACATGTTTTTAATTAAGTTCTCCACAGAACCCTGGTTCTGTTTTATTTGTATAGTGCCAGTTCATGACAAACATTATCAGAACCCAGACCAGAATAAACATTAACAGAACCCAGACCGGACTAATGAGAGAATGATGAATCAATGTTCAGCAGGAGAAGAGAGGAGGAAACAGCTGAAACTGAAGAACCCTGCAAAGATCTGGAAGAAGCTCAGACAACAGAACCACACCGACACTGCAGGTCAGACCCAACAGAACCTTAGATAGAACATTATCAGACTACAACCAACAGAACATTATCAGACTAGAACCAACAGAACATTATCTCACTAGGACCAACAGAACATTATCAGACTAGAATCAACAGAACATTATCAGACCATGACCAACAGAACATTATCAGATTAGAACCAACAGAACATTATCAGACTAGAATCAACAGAACATTATCAGACCATGACCAACAGAACATTATCAGATTAGAACCAACAGAACATTATCAGACTAGAAACAACAGAACATTATTAGGTTAGAACCAACAGAACATTTTTAGGTTAGAACCAACAGAATATTATCAGACCATGACCAACAGAACATTATCAGACTAGAACCAACAGAACATTATAAGGTTAGAACCAACAGAACTTTATCAGGACAGAACATTATCAGACTAGAACCAACAGAACATTATCAGGTTAGAACCAACAGAACAACATCAGGTCAGAACATTATCAGGTTAGAACCAACAGAACATTATCAGACTAGAACCAACAGAACATTATTAGGTTAGAACCAACAGAACATTTTAGGTTAGAACCAACAGAACATTATCAGACTAGGACCAACAGAATATTATCAGGTTAGAACCAACAGAATATTATCAGGTTAGAACCAACAGAACATTATCAGACTAGAACCAACAGAACATTATTAGGTTAGAACCAACAGAACATTATCAGGTTAGAACCAATAGAACATTATCAGGTCAGAACATTATCAGACTAGGACCAACAGAACATTATCAGGTTAGAACCAACAGAACATTATCAGGTCAGAACATTATCAGACTAGAACCAACAGAACATTATCAGGTCAGAACATTATCAGGTTAGAACCAACAGAACATTATCAGGTTAGAACCAACAGAACATTATCAGGTTGGAACCAACAGAACATTATCAGGTCAGAACATTATCAGGTTGGAACCAAAAGAACATTATCAGATTAGAACCAACTAACATTATTAGGTTAGAACCAACAGAACATTATCAGACTAGAACCAACAGAACATTATCAGACCAGAACTGATAATGTTCCTGCAGAGGATGAATGTGGCTGTGAGGAGGTTCTATCATCAGAACCAGAATATAACAGTCAGATTTACGTTATCATTAGTGTATAAAATAAGAACCACGCTGTGTTCTGGTTCTTGCAGAGGATGAGTGTGACAAGGTTCTGCAGCAGCAACAGGAGGAGAAGGAGGAGCAGCTGGAGGAGGTCAGCAGGGGGCTGATCATCAGGGAGGAGCAGCTGTTCAGTCAGGACACCCCCAGCGAGGAGGAGGAGGACCAGCTTCAGAGAGACTTTGAGGCTCTCAGACTGAAGATATGGATGGCTATTGACAACACCTTCACCTCCTCATCTTCCTCCTTGGAGCACCTGGAGGTCCTGAGAAGTGCTGTGGTCTCTATCCAGCAGCAGGAGGAGCAGGACCGGCTGTGGGTGGGGCGTCTGGAGAACAGAGTCCCGGTGTGGCGTCCTCAGAAGTGTCTGAGCATTCACAACAGTCTGCTGCAGAACATGGTGCAGTCCAGACTGAGGAAGGGCTCAGAGGAGGAACCAAGTGGAACCGACGGACTGTCTTCACCTGTGAAAAAGGAGGTGAGTCATGAACCACAGTAATACTGGGACAGGAGACCAACAGTAAGTACCTGTAAGAGTACGTAAGTATGTCTGTTAAGGAGAACGTAACTTACCTGTGCAGGTGTGTGGTATGGAGAATTTATATTGCTAACAAACCTGTGCTGGTGTACCTGAACCTGGTGTGTGATATGTCACCAATGTGGTATATATCCTTAACGTACCTGTGCAGGTGTGTGGAATTGGGAAGCGTGTGAAGGAGGACCTGCTGACGGTGGTGAGGACCGTGAAGGCCTGCTACCCTCCACAGGTGGACATCCTGAACCTGTATGCTGGACTGTACCATCAGTGCTTCTCTGTCCGAATGAGGGAACTCGCTGATTCTGGTCTTGACATTGAGGACTGCAGCTACCTGCTGTTCTGGGTCAACCAGTACTACCCACAGTAAGTCCCAGCTGACTCAGTTCAGAGGTCGTGATCCAGAGATCTGGATCCAGTCTGATGTTTTGTGTTTCCTTCTCCAGTGAAATATTGAACCATGAAGAGCTGGAGGGAAAGATAAAGACGGCCTGTCTGGGTTCTCTGCTGCTGCAGGACCATCTAAACCGCCTGGAGGACCAGTACCTGACCCACAAAGAGGTAATTGCTTTTTGAATCGACTTTGACCCCTTTTCCACCTGGTGGCGAATCTTTCTCGGCCAGGAAAACTGATTCCAGTGCAGCACCAACACTCGGAGCACTTTGTACCCAGACGGATATGTCTTCCTTATCCGTTTCACAAGCTACAATTTCTCACATCAATGTTGCTAACGTAACATAAACATAACATTGAGCTAGCTAGCTAGCGTAACCTTAGTAACAGTAGCAAACATTGGAGTCATATACAGTGACATACTGATGTGGTTCTCTAACCTGTGGAAAAGCAAACCATCTCTTAGAAGGTTCTCAAATTGGACTAACTCTGAACCAGAACTAGGACCAGACCAGAACACATTACAAGGGTCACATTGGTGGAAAGGGGGGTTTAAGGGTTCAGAGAAGGTCAGGTGGATGAATGTATGTCCAGACTTTCTGACGTTTTGTAAATATAATGTTCTGGTGTTTCTGGAATATTTGGAAATATCACATATGTGTTCTTTATCTGTGCGTTAAAGGACGTAACTGCTTGCAGATCGACCAATATTCATCAATATCTCATCTTTTATCTATAATAATAATGTATAATATCTAATGTAACAGCAGCAAATCTGCAGCTTCTTTAAAGTGCAGTTTTCCTTTAATATACAAACTGAAAGTGAAAGGTGTGTTCAGTTTTATTAATAAACTGATCACATGAGGTATATTGATCACAGTGGCATCGTTTAATATTTCTATTGAAGGATTATTAAAGTGAATGTTCGTTTTCCTTCAGGACCAAATGAAACTGTGGCTGAACACCGCTCTGAAGAAAGAGGAGGAGAGCTGGCTGAGCGGCAGCACACCTGAAGTCATCGACCAATACCTCTTCAGCCCGCTAGCTATAGACGTCATACAGGTGAGATACAGTCAGTGCAGATGAGATACAGTCAGTACAGGTGAGATACAGTCAGTGCAGGTGAGATACAGTCAGTACAGGTGAGATACAGTCAGTGCATGTGAGATACAGTCAGTACAGGTGAGATACAGTCAGTGCATGTGAGATACAGTCAGTGCATGTGAGATACAGTCAGTACAGGTGAGATACAGTCAGTGCATGTGAGATACAGTCATTACAGGTGAGATACAGTCAGTACAGGTGAGATACAGTCAGTACAGGTGAGATACAGTCAGTGCAGGTGAGATACAGTCAGGTGAGATACAGGCAGTACAGGTGAAATACAGTCAGTGCAGGTGAGATACAGTCAGTGCATGTGAGACACAGTCAGTACAGATGAGATACAGTCAATACAGGTGAGATACAGTCAGTTCAGTTGAGATACAGTCAGTACAGGTGAGATACAGGCAGTGCAGGTGAGATACAGTCAGTTCAGGTGAGATACAGTCAGTACAGGTGAGATACAGGCAGTGCAGGTGAGATACAGTCAGTTCAGGTGAGATACAGTCAGTACAGGTGAGATACAGTCAGTACAGGTGAGATACAGTCAGTACAGGTGAGATACAGGCAGTGCAGGTGAGATACAGTCATTACAGGTGAGATACAGTCAGTGCATGTGAGATACAGTCAGTACAGGTGAGATACAGTCAGTGCATGTGAGATACAGTCAGTACAGGTGAGATACAGTCAGTGCATGTGAGATACAGTCAGTACAGGTGAGATACAGTCAGTACAGGTGAGATACAGGCAGTGCAGGTGAGATACAGTCAGTTCAGGTGAGATACAGTCAGTACAGGTGAGATACAGTCAGTACAGGTGAGATACAGTCAGTACAGGTGAGATACAGGCAGTGCAGGTGAGATACAGGCAGTACAGGTGAAATACAGTCAGTGCAGGTGAGATACAGTCAGGTAAGATACAGTCAGTGCAGGTGAGATACAGTCAGTACAGGTGAGATACAGTCAGTGCATGTGAGATACAGTCAGTACAGGTGAGATACAGTCAGTACAGGTGAGATACAGTCAGTGCAGGTGAGATACAGTCAGTACAGGTGAGATACAGTCAGTACAGGTGAGATACAGTCAGTACAGGTAGAAGGTCAGGTAAACAGCTAAGGAAAAGTCAGTGCAGGGAAAGTCAGGAAACAGTCAGGCAGGTGAGATACAGTCAGCACAGGTGAGATACAGTCAGTGCAGGTGAGATACAGTCAGTACAGGTGAGATACAGTCAGTACAGGTGAGATACAGTCAGTTCAGGTGAGATACAGTCAGTACAGGTGAGATACAGTCAGTGCAGGTGAGATACAGTCAGTGCAGGTGAGATACAGTCAGTGCAGGTGAGATACAGTCAGTGCAGGTGAGATACAGTCAGTGCAGGTGAGATATAGTTGAGACAACCTGTTGGGTTCAGGGTGATGGATATGTGGTGGTTCTGGTGTTTCCAGGTGATAGATGGCTCCCTGACTGAGTTCAGCTGTGTGATCGGAGACCAGAAGAAAGCTGAGAGGATCACAGCTCACCTGGAGAGCTTCCTCTGCAGGTAGGCCCCGCCCATTGTACATTTGTGAATATTAATGTTACCTCTCACCTGTTACCTGTTGATGCCCGTAGTTTCCTGTCTGTGTATTGAAATATTTTTTCAGCTATAAGAAGAGTTTGGAGAATTTTGTGAAGGGTAACCATGGTAACATCCGTTCAGTGGTCAAAGCTCACCTGGTCTGTGAGCAGCAGCTCAGGTACGATTACCTAGATACTACAACCATTCTGCTCTGTAATGTCCTGTCCTGAAGCATTGTGGGAACTGTAGGCTGGACAAGACAGAAGGAGGTGAGCACTGATTGGACGCTGTGTTTTCCTGCTCTGCTGCTGATTGGTTCATTGTGACTGTCCTCAGGGATTACATCACTGCTCAAACAGGAAGTCTGATGGAGCAGCAGAGACATCGCTGCCTGGATGCTCTGACTTCCCTGAGGGATTGTGGGTACAGGTGTTTCACCTGTCCCATTCACAGCCAACTGAAGGTAGGTATTGTGTGTACTCACGGTACTGCAGTAACTGATCACATTTGATAATCAGTAATCAGTGTCTGTGTTCAGGTGTGTCTCACTCAGCTGTGGACGTCTGTCTGGTTGGACGGGTCACTTCCTGTCGTTGATTCTTTGCTGGGCTCTCTGAACCAACACCTGAGAGACCTGGTTGACCTGAAACCAGCCTGCAGACAGGTAAGACTGTTGACCTGTCTGTTGACCTGTCTGTTTACCCCCTGTATGTCTGTCTGTCTGTCTGTCTGACTGACTACCTGTCTGTCTTTCTGCAGTCTCTGCTGTGCGTCCTCCATCAGGATGTGGTTATTCAGTATGTGAAGAGGATGATGAAGACCAGGATGAAGAGCAGAGAGCAGCAGGTGGGAGGAGCTAAGAGGATGATTGAAGATGCCCGAAAAATCAACGGCTTCTTCAGCGAGGGGGTGAGAGGACTTCTGTAGTTCTGGTTCCAGCTGTGTGGTCAGTGTCTTCCACCATGAATCTGTCACTGAGCACATTTTACTCTCAATGGGACCATCAGTTACTAAATGAACATCATGCTGTATGGAAGAAGACTGAAACTACAGACCGATACTACAGACTGAAACTACAGACCGATACTACAGACAGATACTACAGACTGAAACTACAGACAGATACCAAAGATACTAAGACTGAAACTACAGAGTGATACTACAGACCGATACTACAGACTGATACTACAGACTGAAACGACAGACCGATACTACAGACTGATACTACAGACTGATACTACAGACTGAAACTACAGACTGATACTACAGACTGATACTACAGACTGAAACTACAGACTGATACTACAGACTGATACTACAGACTGATACTACAGACTGATACTACAGACTGATACTACAGACTGATACTACAGACTGATACTACAGACTGATACTACAGACTGATACTACAGACTGATACTACAGACTGATACTACAGACTGATACTACAGACTGATACTACAGACTGAAACGACAGACCGATACTACAGACTGATACTACAGACTGATACTACAGACTGATACAACAGACTGATACTACAGACTGAGACTACAGACTGAGACCAGAAACTCATCAGGAAACTGTTTACTGAGCTCATCAACTTCTCTATAAGACTCCATACTATCAGAGTGGAGCTGCTGGCCTTTACAAGCTCTGTTCATTATATATACAGTCACAGCACAGACTCTGTGAGACCTGTCTCACTAACATTATCCACAGTGGTGCTGCAGTATGATAGCTCTAACTGAATATGTGTGTCCTCAGGGCTGCAGCGAGTCTTTGTGGCTCGGGGAGATCCTCTGCAGTCTGGCTGAGATCCTCCGTCTGCAGGATCCTGGAAGTGTTCAGCTGGAGATGGTCAGCATGGCCAGAAAGTTCAGTGACCTCAGGTACAACCAGAACTACGCACATTGTCGTTAAAGTAATGTTTTATATTCATTGATGAATTACCTTTCTTAAAGCATTGATTGTTTTTAATGGATACAGATGGTAATAATTGATCTGATATCAGGTTGAACTCTCTGTACAGAGCTGATTCATACAGTGAATATTAAGAACAATCAGCTCCTCGTTGGGAATAAAAAGATCTAACACGAGATCGAGTTGGCCGCCGCTTTCAGAGCCCTTACCTTAACCCTCTCCACCGACTGCAAGTCCCAAAGCATGATGGGAAACAGCTGCCTGATGAGCTGATTGGCTCTTAGTTTTGATCACGGACACCACAATAGCGTGTTGAACAACAAGGATAGCTAGCTGTCAGCATTGATTGTCTGAATGTGAACGCAGAATAAAACATTTATTTTGAAGGCTTTTTAAATGAATTTACACAGAATAAAGTCGTTGCTTTATATTACAGTCTGTAAACGGTAAAAACCTGTATTAAAGATTACGATCAAATATGGAATAAAACTCCATGACTTGATTCTTCATGTTATTTTACATTACAGGCTATTTTTGTAATTGTATTAATACTTTCACGTATTTAAAAAATACATAAAAACAGGACAAATAGTTTTTTACAGTGTAACACCTTTATAATTATTACAGTTCACAACCACAGCTCTTCACAGGTGTGTCTGTGGGTTAACATGTCCTCCTATTCACTGGAGCTGTGACCTGAATTCAGCAGTAGGACAGAACACCTGGTTGCCGTGGGATACGGTGGGTGTGGTCAGGTGGGGTTCGGGTGTCACAGGTGTGTGAAGAGAGCGGAAAAATACTGAAAGCCTGCAGCATCAGAGAGACCTACCTGTCTGAGAGCTGATTCAGGGTCAGTCACTGTTCTCACCTGTCCACCAGGTGATATCTGATCTCTGTCTCTCCACAGTGACGCTCACGTGTCAGCGCTGCTCTCTCTGAAAACCGGCCTATCAGCAGGCGACATTCGCTCCATCAAACGCAGCGTGGGGGAGAACCGCCTCCTCGGAGGCTCCACCAATCACAGCCCTCCGTTCTTCTCCAAGGTCAAAGTCAAATGGATCAGTAAGTTTAGCCAACAGTGTTAGTGAGTCAGCACGTCAGCATGTTAGTGGTCAGTACAGTATTTTATGTGTATTATATGTTGAAAGCCGTTGCCATGGTTACAGTCAGTGACTGAGGGGTCGATCACACAGAAACACAGTGAAACCGCCGTTTTCCTGCGGCCAATCACATTAAGCAAAAGGCGGGCTTTACTCTTTATCACTTCCATCCTGTTTTGATGCTGTTTACTATGCTGGTAAATAGGTTAGCTAGTGAGCAGGACGTAGTGGAGGGCAAACTCCGTTATCTACTCTTTGAATGAAGTTCTAGAGCTCGACGTCTGCGTCAATGCGCTTTATTTTGTCCCGGTTATTATTGATCACCCGGTTGCACGTGCAGCCTCTCTCCCCGACGCTCTTTGCCCAGATGTTTCTGAAGCTGCGGCGGCTGTTAGTGTCTCTGTGTGATCGTTCAGGCTGCGTCTGAAGTCAGTGGGTGCGTGAGATCATCAGAGTATTCGTGGTGATGGCGCTCTGAAGCGTCACACAGTTCCTGAAGTAAACACAGCATTTAATCATCAGAACAGCTGTCACACAGTCACTGAGGGTGCAGTGCATGTTTCTACACCCTCGTAGACCTGGACCTGGTCTCATTGATTGGGATCGGCTATATTGAGCTTTATTTTGTTTTACGTCAGCTGTCAGGCACAGTGCAGCCATCGTCAGCTGTCTCCACTGTCTCTGTCCTCCACTCTGAGTCTGTGTGTGTGTGTGTGTGTGAAGCACTTTTTGGCTCCAAGCAGCTGTTTTTTCTGATAACACAATAACAATATCAGGTCTCTGACAGCCAATGCCACAGTAACAAGGCAAGTTTATTTGGCAAGCAGCCATATTTCAACTCCCAGTGGGCTGATTTTGATTCTAAAATGCAGGTCCTACTCATCATACCAATAACCGCATAATGAATCAAAATCAGCCCACTGGGGGTTGAAATATAGACACTTCTTGTTTAAATGTCAGAAATGGATTCAGTGTCCTCATTAATCTCCAAAACCTCCTTTATTGTCCCAATCATCCAATCAGCTGCTGAGATATTGTCCATATAGCTGATTATTAATGCTAATGATGCTAATTGTCAAACATATTTAGCCTCTGTCAGTCTCTAAATGCTGAAGACCCTGACGTTTATTAAACTTTAGTACTTGACGCTTCCTGGCGTTGGTGGTCAGTAGATTATTATCTCAGTGATGGAAATTGAAAACTTGAATGGTGTGAATGTTAATGAAAGATTAAAATCAGATTTGCTGCAGTTTGTGAGTTAAATGTTGCACCTGCTGACCGATTTCTGATTAAAGTAGTATAATAATAAATAACATAATAATTCAATGTAGCAGTGATGATGTCGGTACATACAGTAGTGTTGGATATACTTCATGTTTCACTGCAGAACCGTACTACCTGATTTTCATCATATTGTATTTCCATCAGTGTGATCTCTGTCACCAGACTCAACTCAATAAATGGCTTATTTAGTGGAGTTGCTGTGGTCTGATGTCTTCTTGCTTTCTGAGGGTATTACTGTCATTAAAGACTGAGGCTGAAGCTAACAGGTCCCAGGATATAATGTGTGCTGAGAGGGAGGTTGTTGTTTTCCTGAACAGATTACTGTTACAGAGTACTGACAGGAACTAGAAAAAGAGATCACATCTCTCCTGTACTAGCTACTCTGCATTGGCTCCCTGTAAAATGTAGAATAGAATTTAAAATCCTCCTCCTCACCTATAAAGCTCTTCATGGTCAGGCCCCTTCATATCTTAAAGAGCTCATAGTACCCTATTACCCCTCTAGAACACTACGTTCTCTGAATGCTGGGCTACTTGTGGTTCCTATAGTCTCTAAAAGTAGAACAGGAGCCAGAGCCTTCAGTTACCAAGCTCCTCTCCTGTGGAACCAGCTTCCAGTTGTGGTTCGGGAGGCAGACACCCTCACCACATTCAAGAGTAGGCTTAAGACATTCCTCTTTGATAAAGCTTATAGTTAGGGCTGGATCAGGTGAGTCCTGAACCATCTCTCTGTATGTCTCTCTCTGTCTCTCTCTCTGTCTCTGTCTCTCTCTCTGTCTCACTCTCTCTCAATTCAATTCAAATGGCTTTATTGACATGACGTAACACTGTAACACAAATTATTAAATATAATATATAATATATATAATATTAAAATATATTAAAATTAAAATAAAATAGATAAAACTGTAAACCTGTGTGTGTGTGTGTGTGTGTGTGTGTGTGTGTGTGTGTCTGTATATATATATATATATATATATATTACAAAACAACAACAAAAAACAACTAAAACAGTCAATTATTTTATACATTTATCAGAGTTTCCACTGGTTGTCCTCAGTTCGTGGCATGAGGAGACATATTTTGCTGCAATAATTTGAGTTTTGGGCATTTCTCCCAGTAAATAGGGGAGTTTCTGTGTGTCTGATATAAATTTGAATTCGGGGTATATTTGGGAAATGTTTGTGAATTGTTTTTCTCTTAAAGTTTAGAATTTAGGGCATGAGGTTAGAAAGTGCAGCTCTGTCTCTACCTGTCCTCTGTCACACTGGGAGCAGAGTCTCTCCTCTTCTGGTAGCCAGTTCTGTCTGTGGCGACCCGTTTCTATGGCCAGGCTGTGTTCACTCAGTCTGTACACTGTCAACATTGTTCTTAGTTCAGGACATTTTATTGTGATCAGGTAATCTGCCAGTGTGAATCCTCTTTTTAGGGTCAGATAACATTGTAATTTACTTTGTGTTGTGGTTGTTTCTTTCCAGTATTCAATATATTTTTCTTTTTGCTTGTTGATAATTTGGTTTGGTCTGATTGAGTTGGTGTTGCTGTCCTGAGGCTGTTGGGGACATGTTACTGCAGAGAGCCTCAGGACCAGCTGGCTGAGGGGACTCTTCTCTGGTTTTAGCTCCTGGTATGTTAGGGCTTTGTGATGGTATGTCTGGGGGTTAACTGATTTTAAGTGATTGTAAAATTGAATTGATCTTTTCTGTATTTTTAGTAGGAGGGGGTATTGACCGAGCTCTGCTCTGCACAGATTATTTGGTGTTTTTCTCTGCACCTGCAGGATGCTCTTACAGAACTCGCTGTGGAAAGATTCTATGATTGTTTTGTCCCATTTGTCAAATTCATTAAGGTGCTGCTGCAAACCTTCTTTAGTAGGTGAAAGCAACACTAAGTCATCTGCATATAGCAGACCTCTGATCTCTGTGTCGTTCAGGGTGAGGCCAGGTGCCGTGGAACGTAGCCTGCTGTTGACTATGTACAGACCCAGTGTACGGCGGAGCTGTAAAAGCTGCATACCGCTTGTATTAGTAAGCTTGTCAAAGCTCTTTCTAGTAGGACATTCAGGGAGGGGGAAAGCAGGTGCTTCCAGGTAAGTGTTTGTCTCCCTGGGTGTTCATAGTGTCAGCTCTTTCCCCTGTTCGAGCGTTCAAGTCCCCACGGAGTAATACATTTCCCATGGTTTTATAATGGTTAATTTCCTCCTCAAGAACAGAGAAAATATCTGGGTTGTAGTAGGGGGATTCTGATGGAGGTATTTCAACCATATATAAGATTCTTCTTTTTTAATAACTGTGATGGACTGGCTCAGTTCTGATTTACACCATATAATCATGCCTCCTGAATCTCTGCCTTGGGTTATTGTGGGATGTTTTGTTGATGGTATAATAATCTCAGTGTAGCCATGAGGACGACCAGTGGAAACATCTTCTCTGCACCATGTCTCCTGTAAAACTATGATGTCAGAGTCTTTTAACTCTCTATTAAATGTGTCTATGTAAATAAGTGTGAACCTTTGTATTGATTAGGATCAATATCAGTGAGCTCAGAGTGCTGCAGATTCCTGAACTCACAGCAACCTTCAGTAAGCGCTTCCAGCTGTGAGCTCATCAATCAGTTCCAGATGGATCAATACCTCTGATCTCTGACATCCACCAGATGTTGACCAGGACTGTGTGAACCTGCGCTGCCCCCTGCTGGTCATCTACCCTCACAACCCTTACTGGAGCATTTATATTTAATATAATTCAAATCAGACAAAAATACCCTTCAGTAGTTTTAACAGGTCAAAAGTTATATTTATTTTTAACATAAACAATAAGACGAAACTTAGCCTTGATCATTTTTAACTCTAAATTATGATAAATACATTGTTATATTTTTTATTTGTCATTTTGTTTGTTAAGAAATGGCCTTATCTGACAATCAGAGCCGTTGAGATCAATATATATATTAATATATTATTATTGACGGCGATCAGAGCCGTTCAGATCGATATATATATATCAATATATTATTATTATTATTGATATATTCTATCATCGGCGATCAGAGCCGTTCAGATCAATATATATATATCAATATATTATTATTATTGATATATTCTATCATCGGCGATCAGAGCCGTTCAGATCGATATATATATATCAATATATTATTATTATTGATACATTCTATCATCGGCGATATATTATAATATATTATTATTTTATATATTCTATCATCGGCGATCAGAGCCGTTCGGATCGATATATATATATCAATATATTATTATTATTGATGTATTCTATCTCTGGCTCTGAGGTGACGTTGTATTTCTGTCCAGTCACCCTAGCAACAACAAACGCCGTCGCTCCGCTGACCAACCAATCACATCGCATGCTGTTCCTGACGTCACGACCTGTCATCGCGCTGGGTTTGGTTAGTCCGCCATCTTGGCTGCGGCTAGCGGAGCGGCTAGCATAGAGTGTCTCCAGACCGGCTGAGGAGATCCTGAACCAACCGAACCGGGTCTGTCTCTCAGAACCGACCCGGACCAGAGTCCAGCAGGCAGATCTGGACCCGCTGTGGTCCCAGAAACAGGGCCACACTGCGGTCCTCGTGCCGGGCTAACTCTCTGGCTAACTCCGCCGGTACAGAGGAACTGTTGCTCCGGTTCGCTCTCTGTGCGGTTCACTGCCGGAAAACAAGCCGAACCGAACCGAACCGAACCGAACCCGACAGGTAACAGTCCGCTCCTGCAGGCGGACCGGAACCAGGGATGCCGGTTAAGGTCCGGCCCAAATAGACCCGAGCTGAACTTTCAGCAGTCCGCTAACTTCATCCAGCAGCTCCGGAGCGGACAGCGGCTTCATGACCGAACCTCCCTCACTCTGACCCGGGTAACATGTCCACCAGGACCCCCCTACCCACCGTCAACGAGCGGGACGCCGAGAACGTGAGTCCACACTTATTATTGATTATTGATTATTGATTATTATATAGTCCACACTTAATATTGATTATTGATTATTGATTATTTATTATTATATAGTCCACACTTAATATTGATTATTGATTATTGATTATTTATTATTATATAGTCCACACTTAATATTGATTATTGATTATTGATTATTATATAGTCCACACTTAATATTGATTATTGATTATTATATAGTCCATACTTAATATTGATTATTGATTATTGATTATTTATTATTATATAGTCCATACTTAATATTGATTATTTATTATTATATAGTCCATACTTAATATTGATTATTGATTATTATATAGTCCATACTTAATATTTATTATTTATTATTATATAGTCCATACTTGATATTGATTATTTATTATTATATAGTCCATACTTAATATTGATTATTGATTATTATATAGTCCATACTTAATATTGATTATTTATTATTATATAGTCCATACTTAATATTTATTATTTATTGTTATATAGTCCATACTTAATATTTATTATTTATTGTTATATAGTCCATACTTAATATTTATTATTTATTGTTATATAGTCCATACTTAATATTTATTATTTATAATTTATTATTATATAGTCCATACTTAATATTTATCATTTTTTTATTTATTATTATATAGTCCATACTTAATATTTATTATATATTACTCCATATTTAATATTTATTATATATTAGTCCATACTATATTAGTCCATACTTAATATTTATTATATATTACTCCATATTTAATATTTATTATTTATTATTTATTAGTCCATACTTAATATTTATTATTTATTAGTCCATACTTCATAGTTATTATTTATTATTTATTAGTCCATACTTAATATTTATTATTTATTAGACCATATTTAATATTTATTATTTATTAGTCCATATTTAATATTTATTATATATAAGTCCATACTTAATATTTATTATATATAAGTCCATATTTAATAAATATTATATATTAGTCAATACTTAATATTTATTATATATAAGTCCATATTTAATAAATATTATATATTAGTCAATACTTAATATTTATTATTTATTAGTTCATATTTAATATTTATTAGTTATACATACTTGATTATATTGATCCCAGAGTTATTATTAATCAATGTATTGAACCCAGAGTTATTAATAATCAATGTATTGATCCCAGAGTTATTATTAATCAATGTATTGATCCCAGAGTTATTGATAATCAATGTATTGATCCCAGAGTTCATTAATAACACAAAGGGCAACCGTTTACAGCAGACGGCTGTCTCATGGTGATCAATGTCAGTATTGATTAGTATCGGTACCTGGAGTCAAACCTTTGATCATGTATTGATTAGCTGCTGTAAACTAATCAATGGACGTGACGGTCTGTGTGATGGGTTATTTTCCCAGCATACCTCAGTGGACGATGGGCGTGGTCAGGTATCGTCCCGCTCTGTCCGCTCCGCTCGCTGTAAGAACTCTTTGTCCGCCGCTGACGAGACGCCGCACATCGGGAAATACCGACTGCTGAAAACTATCGGAAAGGGAAACTTCGCCAAAGTGAAACTGGCTCGACACATCCCCACTGGACGAGAGGTGAGACAGGGGGAGGGGGGGAGTCAGACAGACAGCTGGATATGGGTTATTGATATACTGATCGGGCTGTTGTTGATACAGATTGAACTCTCTGTGTCTCACAGGTGGCGATCAAAATCATTGATAAGACCCAACTGAACCCCACCAGCCTACAGAAGGTGAGACTAGTGTTGTCACGATACCAAAATTATTGTTCCGATACCGATACCAAGTCAAGATATCTCAAATATCATTGCTGTGCTTTATTTTGAAACCATGACAAGATTTTAATCATATAGCACACTAATGAATGATCATATGAACAGCAGATATATTAAACAAGGTAAAAAAAAAAAAATTTAGCAGCATTATCTCAGTTGTCATAAGAAACATAAGAGAAAACATAACTTTATCTTGATTCTGAACTTAAAATTAAATTTAGCAGCAATATCTCAGATATTGTAACTTATTCTGTCAGTTGTGCAACCTTTCCTTTCAGAGGAGAAAACTCAGCCATTGAGCCCGCGGCTCCAGACTTCTGTAGCAGAAGAAAATGGAAATATTTAAAATATGATGGTGATAAATTTGTCATAACAGAGGACCTAAATAGTTTATGTGTGATAGTGACAATAACTTGTGACTAACTTAGCATCTCTATTAGAGATGTTCCGATACCATTTTTTCCCTTCCGATACTCGTGCTGTGGGTATCGGCCGATACCGAGTACCGATACTGATACCAGTGTGTGTTAAAAAAAATAATAATAATCATACTACGCCTGCATGACTGAGATACAGGGGCGGACTTTCTTTCCCCTACAAAATAAATGTTTCTGTTGTGCTGCAATAACCTGTACTCAAATCACATAATTTCTATTCTATTTAATTTACTACTACACTATTAAATGTGCAGGCTGCACATTAGTAAATTAAATAAAGATGCAGATGTGTAGGTTTATTCTCTGTTACATTAAACAAGGAAACTTCAAACACACACAGAAAGAAATTTGCAATATCCTTTGTTACAACTTAAAACATTTGTTTTATTAAATCAGTTTTATCCCCATCAGGAACTAACCTCCTCATTAAGTTGGTGGTGCTGGATAGGCTCTGGTTGTGTGTCTGTTGTCACCATTAGTGTTTAATGTCTGACCTGCTCCCTTACTGACAAACATGTCAGTTATTTTACAGCACTTCGCTGATCTGTGGTCAGTGCTTTTAGCTTTGTAAGCCTCTCTCTCTCTGCTCCACCTTTCCTCTGGGGCTGTCGATCTCGCTCCATTTTTCAAGCATGTAGAACTACAGGTGAGGGAGGTGTGTGTGTGTGTGTGTGTGTGTGTGTGTGTGTGTGTGTGTGTGTGTGTGTGTGTGTGTGTGTGTGTGTGTGTGTGTGTTGAAAACCCCTCGAAATTGCTTCTTTGCATATGTTGCATGTCGCCGTCTTACTGGTGGGAACATCCACTGTAAAGTACTGCCAAACCGCCGACATGATGCACTAATGTTAGCTCCTTTTAACAGGTGTCAGGCGTCAGGTGATCAATTCTTCTTCGCCCCTCTAATACAGCAGCTGCCACAGCACAACTGTTTTAAGAGCAGCGAAGAAGAACTGTGTCAGAGCTTACAGAGCTAACCAGTAAATAGATTCCTAACTCTAATAAATGATGTGGTATCGGATCGGTGCCTGGACTCCAGTACTCGCCGATACCGATGCCAGCATTTTCGGCAGTATCGGAGGCATTCCCGATACTGGTATCGGAATCGGAACAACTCTAATCTCTATATGCAGTGGTTATAGTGATAACTGCTAACATTTACTTAACCATAACATTATCATAATTAATAATAGGAACTAATGAGTTGACCTAATGTTATTTAAGCTGTGATATATGGATTAATATAGGCTAATGTTTCCTGTACTTCAACGTCTGATTTCTTTGATGGTTAACTTTACATTTGAGTCCATCATTTCTTACAAGGCGTTTCACAAATACACCTCCTCCTCTGCGGTCTGTGCTCTTTAAATGCTGTAATAACCTAATAGAAATAAATCACTGACAAACATGCACATACTCTGATTATAATCATATAGCCTATAGATCATTTTAGCTGATGTTTGTATGCTTTATTTTAGCAGCTTGCAAATGATTAACGTTATCTGTGAAAGTTTTCAGAGACGTTGAACTAGCCGTAGGCAGGCTGTTGGTCAGCCATGAGGATAATGCCCATAGTCAGTCTACTATTTCTCTAGATAGCCTCGTCAAACTACGTTGGTGCAAAATAAACCATAGCCTACTCATTTGACTTATTTAAGGGCATGAACGTGGTTGTGTTATCTTTCACATACTAACTCTCGGTCTTTAAACTCCTTGTACAACTCGGCGTGTTTGTCGGCCGAGTGTTTCTCCAGGTTCGAGGTGTCGGCTCTCTTTGTTTACATTCGTTTGTAACGTTAGCACTGACGACAAACAGGTCTGGACTTATCGGTAGCTTTGCCCTCACTGTCAGTAAGGTAGGCAAAGTACTTCCATATTTCTCTCTCTCTCTCTCTCTCTCTCTCTCTCTCTCTCTCTCTCTCTCTCTCTCTCTCTCTCTCACCCCAACTGGTCGAGACAGACGACCACCCACCTAGAGCCGGAGGATCTGTCCTAGGTTTCTGCCTTTTAACAGGCAGTTTTTCCTTGCCCTTGTCGCCAAGTGCTTGCTCATGGTGGTACTGTTGGGTCTCTGTAATTAATGTTAAAGAGTTCGGTCTAGACCTGCTCTATTTGAAAAGTGTCCTGAGATAACTTCTGTTATGAATTGGCGCTATACAAATAAAATTGAATTGAATTGAATTGAATTTCACTCCTCGCGTCATCTTTTTCTACCAGTCGTGGACCGGCAGCCACAGTATCACTTGTGCTCGCACATGCAGCGATCTTGTTATAGTGTTTGTCACATGACAGCTGCAGCTTCTTTGCTGCGTGCGTGAGGAGAAAAAACACAGACGTCCATGGGGAGGCACTGGAAGCATACGTTGCACACACCAACATGAAATACATCTCTTACGAATCTGGAACGCGGTCATTCTTTAAAGTATCGACACTAATACATTTAGGAATTGTGACGGCTTTAATTTCCGAGAATCGCGATACTTTTGAAGTATTGGTGCACCGTGCAACACTAGGTGAGACACAGTCTGGATCCAGGGTCCAGGATCAGTCTGACCCAGTTGAGTCTGTCAGTGTCAATAAAGTCTGGAGGATTTACCTGTCTCACTCTTATCCACACCTGTCTGTCTGTCAGCTCTTCAGAGAAGTCAGAATAATGAAGATCTTAAATCACCCAAACATTGGTGAGTGTCTGTACCTGTCTGTCTGTACCTGTCTGTCTGTCTCTGTCTGACTGTACCTGTCTGTCTGTCTGTACCTGTCTGTCTGTCTGTACCTGTCTGTCTGTCTGTACCTGTCTGTCTGTCTCTGTCTGACTGTACCTGACTGTCTGTCTGTACCTGTATGTCTGTACTTGACTGTCTGTACCTCCAGGGCTCCAGAGTGCGACACATGCGACCAAAATTTTTAAGAGTGCGACTAATAATTTTCTAGGTCGCACTGGTGCACCTGACGCTGCCCGGGTGAAACATACATTTATTTTGCAAGCACATCATCTCTCTGTGTTCTCCTGTGAGTGAACTCACACACTCATGGTAGGATCATATCGGGTTCTAAACCAATAAGAGACAGAGCTCGGGCGGGTCTTTGCCTCTGATTGGCTGTGGTCCTGTTCATCGCGCTAAGTTGTGTGTTTAAAAATTGCCGATCCCCGGTCCTTCGGCGACAGCATCAGACTCGGAACCAGAGGAGGAGACAACCGAGTCTGGGATAGAGCCCAGCTCCGAGACCCAAATTAAAAAGGTCAAAATATATTCCTTCAGACAGGACTGGCTGAAACAAGTTCCCTGGCTGAGGTTCAACAAAGGACGTAACGCAATGCACTGCGTGTACTGTCAGGAGTGCGGTCAGAATATGGCCGGAAATAGTGCATTCGTGAGCGGGTCAACAACATTTCGTATCAAAACTTTAAAAAAACATAACGTGTCTAAAAAACACACGATATGCCGTGACAAGTGTGTAGAGAAAGTGGCCCCTCTCCCAGCTGCATTTCAGCGGCAGGTAGTAGTAATCAGGTCCTCTTTTAATTTAAAATGCTCAACTTCAGCTCAGTGAAGCACTTTAAACACTTTATATTTCTTTTTATATATAATTGTGCTTCAAATAAAGACAAGCATTTCTCTACAACTTATTCTTGTTTAAAAATCATTCACATTATATGAAAGTAATGGAGAGCGATAAAAAGGTGACCTTATGGCGTTAAAGGTGACGCAATGAAAAATTTGGGTGTACCTACATTTTGTGCTGGTGCACCTAAAAAAAAAAAAAGTTAGGCGCACCAGTGCAACCAATGCAAAAAGTTAGTCTGGAGCCCTGACCTCCCTCTGACTGTGTGTCTGTACCTGTCTCTCTGACTGTGTGTCTGTACCTGTCTCTCTGACTGTCTGACTGTACCTGTCTCTCTGACTGTGTGTCTGTACCTGTCTCTCTGACTGTCTGTCTGTACCTGTCTCTCTGACTGTTTGTATGTACCTGTCTCTCTCACTGTCTGTCTGTACCTGACTGTCTGTCTGTACCTGTCTGTACCTGTCTCTCTATCTGACTGACTGTACCTGTCTCTCTGTCTGTCTGTCTGTCTGTCTGTACCTGACTGTCTGTCTATCTGTACCTCTCTCTTTCTGTCTGTCTATGTCTGTCTGTACCTCTCTCTCTGACCGTCTGTCTTTCTGTACCTGTCTCTCTCTCTGACTGTCTGTCTCTCTGTACCTGTCTGTCTGCAGTGAAGCTGTTTGAGGTGATAGAGACTGAGAAGACTCTGTACCTGGTGATGGAGTACGCCAGTGGAGGTCAGTCCACATTCATTACCTTCACAACTAGTTGTAACACCTGAACCAGGTTCACCTGGACCAGGACCGTCTGAGCTTAGACCAGGTTTCTGACCTCTGACCTCAGCGTCAGGTGACCTCCTCTCTCTGCTGCAGGTGAAGTGTTTGACTACCTCGTAGCTCACGGCAGGATGAAGGAGAAGGAGGCCAGAGCTAAATTTAGACAGGTAACACACACACACACACACACACACACACACACACACACACTGCTGTTACCATGGTTACAACCTGTAGGGACCCACATCCCATAATGCCGCAGTCTGAACCTGTCTGTCTGCAGATTGTGTCTGCAGTGCAGTACTGCCATCAGAAGCACATCGTTCACCGGGACCTGAAGGTAACACGCACTGAACTCTCATTTCCCAGCTGATACTGAATGCACCATCAAAATGCATTCATCCTAGTCTCTCTCTCTCTCTCTCTTTCTCTCTCTGTCTCTCTTTCTCTCTCTCTGTCTCACTCTCTGTCTCTCTCTGTCTCTTTCTCTCTCTTTCTCTCTCTGTCTCTCTCTCTGTCTCTCTCTGTCTCTCTCTCTCTCTGTCTCTCTTTCTCTCTCTCTGTCTCACTCTCTGTCTCTCTCTCTCTCTGTCTCTCTCTCTCTCGCTGTCTCTCCTCCTCTCTCCCTCTCCTCCTCCTCTCTCCCTCTCTCCTCCTGCAGGCGGAGAACCTCCTCCTGGATGCTGATATGAATATTAAGATAGCAGATTTTGGGTTCAGTAATGAGTTCACTGTCGGTGGGAAACTGGACACTTTCTGTGGTTCTCCTCCGTATGCTGCTCCTGAACTCTTCCAGGTACTCTCTCTCTCTCTCTCTCTCTCTCTCTCTCTCTCTCTCTCTCTATGTACAGATTAAAGGCACGGCCTCCAGCCTACGCCAACATTTCCATGGCACATTTGGTGGAGACTGTTTATGAGCCCCTAACTTCCAGCTCATTACTACAGATATTTAGATGATATATGGGGAACATGGACACATAGCCTAGAGGAAGTCCACCAATTTATAGAGATACTAAACACACACCATAGCTCAATCAAGTTAAATACACCACACATAACACACATTCACCCAAACACACACACTAGGCACTAAAGTTTATTTTAAAGACACAGACACACACATGCACTTCTACACAACAACAGCCTCCACCAGAAACACACATTTAAAGGACTAATTAAATCCCAACTACTACTGCTACTACACAAACAGTGGACTTTAAAGAGGCCACTCAGACCCTCTTCAGGGCGTTAAAACCAGGGGATACTCCAGGTCCTTCCTCACATCCAATCAGGAAGGACTTCCTCACCACGAGACCAGAGGACAGGAGAAACATCCTCCCATTAATCACCACCTGCTCCACATATAGCGTAGCAGCAAACAAACACATGAAGAACACAAACATGCTCCAGGAGTATAAAATAATCTCAGCCTACAAGAGGAACAAAAACCTAAAGACTATCTGGTCAAAAGTAAACTACCAGAACTTAACACAATTCCTCAACAAAGCCCCAATGACTTTAGACCACAGAGACAAACACAAGAGAGGACAATGTCCTCCTCACACAGTAAGACAGGTAAAGCTTCCTGATACTGAACACATTGACATAATGAAAGCCCAGAGTCCTGATCATCTACACCCAGTACCAAACCCACTACAGTCACAGTCCGTGGAAGAGAGTGGACCAGAACCACAGCACTACCACAGCACAACCACAGCACTACCACAGCACAACCAGTGTGAGAGACTACTGATGTCCTGAAGTCATTCAGACAACCTGTAACACCTCCTACTAACTTCAGAACATCTAACTGTAATCTGTAATCTGTAATCTGTGTGTGTGTGTGTGTGTGTGTGTGTGTGGGTGTGGGTGTGTGTATATACTGTGTGTGTTTCAGGGTAAGAAGTATGATGGTCCAGAAGTGGATGTGTGGAGTTTAGGAGTTATTCTCTACACTCTTGTTAGTGGATCTTTACCATTTGATGGACAGAACCTCAAGGTCAGTAACACACACTGTAACACACACTGTACACACTGTAACACACACACTGTACACACTGTAACTAACACTCTGTAACACACTGTAAGACACACACTGTAACTAACACTGTAACACACACTGTAACACACACACACTGTACACACTGTAACACACACTGTAACACACACTGTACACACTGTAACTAACACTGTAACACACACACTGTACACACTGTAACTAACACACTGTAACACACACTGTAACTAACACTGTAACACACACTGTAACACACTGTAAGACACACACTGTAACTAACACTCTGTAACACACTGTAACACACACTGTAACACACTGTAACACACACTGTAACACACTGTAACTAACACTCTGTAACACACACTGTAAGACACACTGTACACACTGTAACTAACACTGTAACACACACACTGTACACACTGTAACTAACACACTGTAACACACACTGTAACACACACTGTAACTAACACTGTAACACACACTGTAACACACACTGTACACACTGTAACTAACACTGTAACACATTGTAAGACACACACTGTAACTAACACTGTAACACACTGTAACACACACTGTAACACACACTGTAACTAACACTGTAACACACACTGTAACACACACTGTACACACTGTAACTAACACTGTAACACACTGTAAGACACACACTGTAACTAACACTCTGTAACACACTGTAACACACACTGTAACTAACACTGTAACACACACTGTAACACACACTGTACACACTGTAACACACACTGTAACTAACACTCTGTAACACACTGTAACACACACTGTAACTAACACTGTAACACACACTGTAACTAACACTGTAACACACACTGTAACTAACACTGTAACACACACTGTAACACACACTGTAACTAACACTGTAACACACACTGTAACACACACTGTACACACTGTAACACACACTGTAACTAACACTCTGTAACACACTGTAACACACACTGTAACTAACACTGTAACACACACTGTAACTAACACTGTAACACACACTGTAACTAACACTGTAACACACACTGTAACACACACTGTAACTAACACTGTAACACACTGTAACTAACACTCTGTAACACACTGTAACACACACTGTAAGACACACTGTACACACTGTAACTAACACTGTAACACACACACTGTACACACTGTAACTAACACACTGTAACACACACTGTAACACACACTGTAACTAACACTGTAACACACACTGTAACACACACTGTACACACTGTAACTAACACTGTAACACATTGTAAGACACACACTGTAACTAACACTGTAACACACTGTAACACACACTGTAACACACACTGTAACACACACTGTACACACTGTAACTAACACTGTAACACATTGTAAGACACACACTGTAACTAACACTGTAACACACTGTAACTAACACTGTAACACACACTGTAACACACACTGTAACACACACTGTAACTAACACTGTAACACATTGTAAGACACACACTGTAACTAACACTGTAACTAACACTGTAACTAACACTGTAACACACACTGTAACTAACACTGTAACTAACACTGTAACTAACACTGTAACACACACTGTAACACACGCACTGTAACACACACTATAACACACTGTACACACATTGTAACACACACACTGTACACTAGGGGTGTAACGGTACACACAAGTCACGGTTCAGTACGTACCTCGGTATGGGTTCGGTACAACGAAAAAAAGAAATCACATATAGAAGACTAGCTTTTTTTCATTGAACTGACCAATTGACTGGAAAATAAAAAACCCTCTCCTGTTATAAAAGTAAAAAAGAAATAGAATAAAACATAAAACTAATGTATTAGGAGGGTTCTCATTCTGTTAATACAGAGGAAAAGATAGACTGAGGTAGTCAGGTAGCACTTCTTGCCAACTGGCAACTTTGTCGTTGCTTCTGTGATGTTTTTGGCCCTGTCAGTGTTAATGTCAAGAGGTGGCTTAAAAGCAGCGGGGATAAGTTGTTGCACCAGTGACAGATATGTTGGGGTGATGCTGTCTTATGTGGGTTAGCATGTTTGAGGTGTTGCCAGCAACATACTGCACCTCCGTGAAACATCGCCGGCAGAAAGTCTTTGTCCGGTCCACCACTCGCATGCCATCACCATTATATTGTACTGGGAAGCCAAAGCGCTCCAAACAGCTGATTTAAGTGAAGCCGGCGGCTCCTCCAACTCCACACTTTCCATCACTTTTCTTCTTCGTCCTTTTTTGTAACTACTTCTTCTTCTGTAATGACTGTTTCTGGCAGCTTTTAGGCTCATTACCGCCACCTGGATTAAACTGAGGACTCGACTTATTTTTTTTAAACTCACTGCAGTCACTTTTATGACTGCGTGCACCGAACCGTGACACCCGTACTGTGACGGTTCATTCACTCTCTGTCTCACTGTCTGTCTCACTCTCTGTTTCACTCTCTGTCTGTCTTACTGTCTGTCTCTCTGTCTCACTCTCTGTCTGTCTTACTGTCTGTCTCTCTGTCTCACTCTCTGTCTGTCTCTCTGTCTCACTCTCTGTCTGTCTCATTCACTGACTGTCTCTCTCTCTCTCTCTCTCTCTCTCTGTCTCACTCTCTGACTCTCTGTCTGTCTGTCTCTCTCTCTGTCTGTCTGTCTCACTCACTGTCTGTCTTACTGTCTGTCTCTCTGTCTCACTCTCTGTCTGTCTCATTCACTGACTGTCTCTCTCTCTGTCTCACTCTGTGACTCACTGTCTGTCTCACTCACTGTCTGTCTCTCTGTCTCACTCTCTGTCTGTCTCACTCACTGACTGTCTCTCTCTCTGTCTCACTCTCTGACTCACTGTCTGTCTCACTCTGTCTGTCTCACTCTCTGTAGGAGCTGAGGGAGCGGGTTCTTCGTGGTAAATATCGGATTCCTTTCTATATGTCTACTGACTGTGAGAACCTGCTGAAACGCTTCCTGGTTCTGAACCCGGGGAAACGAGGAACTCTGGAGGTCAGAACACCGATCAATAACCCATATCAATGATTGATCAATGCCACAGAGAGACCACAGGATGGATTCACTGATCCTCATGTTCACTTCAGTGTTTCTGTTGAGTGGACAGAATGTTTGATTGATCGGTTGATTGGTGTTTGATTGATCGGTTGATTGGTGTTTGATTGATCGGTTGATTGGTTTATTGGTGTTTGATTGATCGGTTGATTGGTGTTTGATTGATCTGCTGATTGGAGTTTGATTGATTGGTGTTTGATGATCTGCTGATTGGTGTTTGATTGATCGGTGTTTGATTGATCTGCTGATTGGTGTTTGATCTGCTGATTGGTGTTTGATTGATTGGTTGATTGGTGTTTGATTGATCTGCTGATTGGTGTTTGATTGATTGGTTGATTGGTGTTTGATTGATCTGCTGATTGGTGTTTGATTAATCGGCTGATTGGTGTTTGATTGATCTGCTTATTGGTGTTTGATTGATCTGCCGATTTGTGTTTGATTGATCTGCCGATTGGTGTTTGATTGATCTGTTGATTGGTGTTGATTGATCTGCTGATTGGTGTTTGATTGGTGTTTGATTGATCAGCTGATTGTTGTTTGATCGGCTGATTGGTGTTTGATTGATCTGCTGATTGGTGTTTGATTGATTGGTTTATTGGTGTTTGATTGATCGGCCGATTGGTGTTTGATTGGTCTGCTGGTTGGTGTTTGATTGATCGGCTGGTTGGTGTTTGATTGATCGGCCGATTGGTGTTTGATTGGTCTGCTGGTTGGTGTTTGATTGATCAGCTGATTGGTGTTTGATCTGCTGATTGGTGTTTGATTGATCTGCTGATTGGTGTTTGATTGATTGGTTTATTGGTGTTTGATTGATTGGCCGATTGGTGTTTGATTGGTCTGCTGATTGGTGTTTGATTGATCGGCTGATTGGTGTTTGATTGATCGGCTGATTGGTGTTTGATTGATCTGCTGATTGGTATTTGATTGATCGGTTGATTGGTGTGTTTTTTTTCATCCTCAGCAAATCATGAGGGACCGTTGGATCAATGCAGGCTCTGATGAGGAGGCTCTGAAGCCGTTTGTGGAGCCAGAGCTGGACATCAGGGACCAGAACCGGATCGGTACTCTCTCTTTAAATCCTGGACCCAGCACTTCCTGTAGTGTCACAGGACCAGCAGCCAATTAGGAGGCTGATCACTGTGCTGTTGTTTCAGACCTGATGGTGGGGATGGCCTACTCCAGAGAGGAGATCAACCAATCACTCGCCAACAGGAAGTATGATGACATCACCGCCACCTACCTGCTGCTGGGGCGCAGGGCCGCTGAGGTCAGAGGTGGTTGCCGTGGTAACAACAGGTGTGAAGTCACACAGGTAGGGAGCAGTAACAGTGTTTGTGTCTGTCGTTCAGGTGGAGGTGAGTGACTCCTCGTCTTCCAGCAGCGTGCCCCTCCTCAAACCTCGTCCGTCCAGCAGTAGCCAGTCTCCTGCTCACCTCCTCAACCAGCGCTCCTCCTCCTCCTCCTCCTCCTCCTCCTCCAAACAGAGGAGGTACAGTGACCAAGGTACGTACCAATGTGCTCCTACTCCTCCTCCTCTCTTCAAACAGAGGAGGTACAGTGACCAAGGTACGTACCAAAGTGCTCCTACTCCTCCTCCTCCTCCTCTCTTCAAACCGAGGAGGTACAGTGACCAAGGTACGTTCACAGACTATAACTCCTCCTCTCTCCCCTCCAGTGTGTCCGGCCTCCTCAGCCGCTCCCCCCTCCAGGAGGAGTCAGGCAGCAGCGTCAGCAGAGGAGGAGGTGAAGCAGGAGGTGGGAGGTGAGAACAGGAAGTGCAGTCCTGTGGAGGGAGGGAGTCCTCTGCTTGGGAACGCCAACAACCCCAACATGGCCGACATCCCAGAGCGGAGAAAGACTTCGGCCGCACCCACCGTGAGTTCAGAGCATTACACTATATACATTATGTACAGTGCATACGGAAAGTATTCACAGCGCTTCACTTTTTTCACATTTCATTATGTTACAACTTTATTCTAAAATGGATTCAATTCATTTTTTTCCTCAAAATTCTACACAATACACCATAATGACAACTTAAAAAGGTTTGAGATTTTTTTCAAATTTATTAAAAATAAAAAATGAAGAAATCACTTGTACATAGGTATTCACGGGCACTGCACTAGTCTATATATATATATATATATATATATATATATAATATATAAAATGAACAGTAGCTACAATAAACGGTGCAAACAGTAAACAGTGCAAATGGAAGTAAAACAGTGCAAATGGATGTGCAAAATACAGATAGAAATTGTCCATTGTCTATTATCTATTGTCCTCTCTGCCTTTACTGAGAGCTGTTGTACAGTCTGATGGGGGACGAAAGAGTTTTTGAGTCTGTTGGTGGAGCTGGACTGGGACAGCAGTCTGCCACTGAACACACTCCTCTGCCTGGTGAAGGTGTTGTGCAGAGGGTGGTGGGTGTTGTCCAGTATGGACAGCAGTTTGTCCAGGGTCCCTCTCTCTGCCACTGTCACCAGAGAGTCCAGCTCTGTGCCAGCTACTGAGCCAGCTCTCCTCACCAGTCTGTCCAGTCGACCGGCATCTCTCTTCTTGCTGTTTCCTCCCCAGCATACCACAGCATAAAAGAGCACGCTAGCCACCACAGACTGGTAAAACATCTGCAGCAGTTTTTTGCAGATGTTGAAGGACCCCAGCCTTCTCAGGAAGTACAGACGGCTCTGCCCTTTCCTGTGTAAAGCATCCATATTTGCTGTCCAGTCCAGCTTGTCGTCCAGCTCTAGCCCTAGATATTTACTAATAATTACTGCGGTCTCTCCGTGAGGTAGTCCGTAATCCAGGTCACCAGGAGTGGGTCCACCCTCAAGCGCTGTGAATACTTTACGTATGCACTGTATACATTATACATACACCATAACTATATATATACATTATACATACACCATAACTATATATATACATTATACATACACCATAACTATATATATATACATTATACATACACCATAACTATATATATACATTATACATACACCATAACTATATATATACATAACATTCACCATAACATATACATTATACATACACCATAACTATATATATACATTATACATACACCATAACTATATATATACATTATACATACACCATAACTATATATATACATTATACATACACCATAACTATATATATACATTATACATACACCATAACTATATATACATTATACATACATCATAACTATATATATACATTATACATACACCATAAATATATATACAAATTAAATACACCATAACTATAATAAAATTATAATACACCATAACTATATATACAAATTATACATACACCATAACTATATATATACATTATACATACACCATAACTATAACCATATATATATACATTATACATACGTGTTTGTTTGAATAAACTTTATTTACATAATTTACACAAATCAATATGATCCATTAATGTTCATCATCATGTGATTGAATCATGTGACCTGTGTGTCAGAGTGGAACGTCCAGCATGACGAGGAGGAACACGTATGTGTGCAGTGAGAGGAACTCCACAGAGCGACCCCCTGTGATCCAGAACGGCAAAGAGAACAGGTACACCACAGTCCACTTCAGTCCACCACAGTCCACCTCAGTCCACTTCAGTCCACTTCAGTCCACCACAGTCCACCACAGTCCACCTCAGTCCACTTCAGTCCACCAAAGTCCACTTCAGTCCACCAGAGTCCACCACAGTCCACTTCAGTCCACCTCAGTCCACCTCAGTCCACTTCAGTCCACTTCAGTCCACCACAGTCCACCTCAGTCCACTTCAGTCCACCACAGTCCACCACAGTCCACCAAAGTCCACTTCAGTCCACCACAGTCCACCTCAGTCCACTTCAGTCCACCACAGTCCACCACAGTCCACCAAAGTCCACTTCAGTCCACCACAGTCCACTTCAGTCCACCTCAGTCCACCAAAGTCCACCTCAGTCCACTTCAGTCCACCTCAGTCCACTTCAGTCCACTTCAGTCCACCTTTGCATATACAGTGATGTCACATGTAACGCTGCCCCCCCTCCTACAGTTCAGCCTCTACCCCCCCTCAGAGGTCAGTGGGCGGAGCCTCCACCCACAGCATCAGCAGTGGGGCCACTCCCCCCGACCGACTGCGGTTCCCACGGGGGACGGCGAGCCGCAGCACGTTCCACGGCGGTCAGCTCCGAGAGAGACGCACCGCCACCTACAATGGCCCCCCTGCCTCGCCCAGCCTGTCACATGACGCCACGCCTTTAACTCAATCACGAGCCAGAGGATCCACCAACCTGTTCTCCAAACTCACCTCCAAACTCACACGCAGGTACGCCAACGCAAAGCATCATGGGAGGTTGAGTCAGTATGTCCTTTCTGCATACTCATATTCTTCCTTTGTTGTCTCCTCCTGGCTGGCAGAGGGGGCTCAGAGGTCGAGAGGAACGGCAGACCTGAGGGCTCCAGGTGAGTCACACACTCTCTCCTCCTCTCTCCTCCTGTAGCCTGTGTGTCCCTGCCTGTGCCCGAGGCAGATGTTGGTGTTCTTGGTCCAGCAGCCGGTTCCACTGGTTACATTGTAACACTAGTGATTTGGCTACAGTAGAACAGAACAACCCTGAGGAGCAACAGGCCTCTGTGGCTGCAGAGAACCTGAACACTGAACACTGAATCAGACACTGACTGAGTCACTGACTGAGTCACTGACTGAGTCCGACACTGAATCAGACACTGAGTCACTGACTGAGTCAGACACTGATTCAGACACTGACTGAGTCAGACACTGAGTCAGACACTGAGTCACTGACTGAGTCAGACACTGATTCAGACACTGACTGAGTCAGACACTGAATCAGACACTGAGTCAGACACTGAGTCAGACACTGAGTCAGACACTGACTGAGTCAGACACTGAATCAGACACTGACTGAGTCAGACACTGAATCAGACACTGAGTCAGACACTGAGTCAGACACTGATTCAGACACTGACTGAGTCAGACACTGAATCAGACACTGAGTCAGACACTGAGTCAGACACTGAGTCAGACACTGACTGAATCAGACACTGAGTCAGACACTGACTGAGTCAGACACTGAATCAGACACTGACTGAGTCAGACACTGAATCAGACACTGACTGAGTCAGACACTGATTCAGACACTGATTCACTGTGACCAATAAACAACTTCAATTTACCAATTCAGTCTCTGGTATGAATGAACTGAAATGTGTTAATACACTGATGTGTTTTATTGTAGCGTATGAACTTTAAAGGAGCAATGGAGTCTCCATTATCTGTTACACAGCTAACTTATACATAGTAGTTGTTTTTATATTTATTTATTTGTGTTGTTTGTTTTGTTTAGCTCTAAAGTGATGATGTGATTGTGATGAAAAAGTCCAATAAAGGGATGTTAAACATCTCTCCTCTCCTCTCCTCTCCTCTCTCCCCCTCTCTCCTCCCTGCAGTCGCAGCGTGTCCTGCGATCAGAAGGAGGAACCTGGATCTCCTGCTCCTCCTCTGAAGGAGTCGAAGCCTCGTTCCCTGAGGTTCACGTGGAGCATGAAGACCACGTCCTCCATGGATCCTCAGGACATGATGAAGGAGATCAGGAAGGTCCTGGACGCCAGCAACTGCGACTACGAGCAGCGTGAGCGCTTCCTGCTGCTGTGTGTCCATGGCGACGGGCTCGCCGACAGCCTCGTCCAATGGGAGATGGAGGTGTGCAAACTGCCCCGCCTCTCGCTCAACGGAGTCCGCTTCAAACGGATCTCAGGAACCTCCATCGCCTTCAAGAACATCGCCTCCAAGATCGCCAACGAGCTCAAGCTGTAGACAGACGGGTCAGAGAGAGAGAGAGAGAGAGAGACAGGTCAGAGGGAGAGAGAGAGAGAGAGAGAGAGAGAGAGACAGGTCAGAGGGAGAGAGAGAGAGAGAGAGAGAGAGACAGGTCAGAGGGAGAGTGAGACGGGTCAGAGGGAGAGGGAGAATGAGACAGGTCAGAGAGAGAGAGAGAGACAGGTCAGAGGGAGAGAGAGAGAGACAGGTCAGAGAGAGAGAGGGGAGAGAGAGGGAGAGAGAGACAGGTCAGAGGGAGAATGAGACAGGTCAGAGAGAGAGAGAGAGAGACAGGTCAGAGAGAGAGAGAGAGAGACAGGTCAGAGGGAGAGTGAGAGAGACAGGTCAGAGAGAGAGAGAGGGAGAGAGAGACAGGTCAAAGGGAGAGGGAGAATGAGACAGGTCAGAGAGAGAGAGAGAGAGAGAGAGACAGGTCAGAGAGAGAGAGAGAGAGACAGGTCAGAGGGAGAGTGAGAGAGACAGGTCAGAGAGAGAGAGACAGGTCAGAGGGAGGGAGAGAGAGAGAGAGAGAGAGAGAGACAGGTCAGAGGGAGAGAGAGAGAGACAGGTCAGAGGGAGAGGGAGAGAGAGAGAGAGAGAGACACAGGTCAGAGAGAGAGAGAGACAGACAGGGACCAGCAGGATGTAATCGTGTCACTGTCTAGCAATCTGTCTGTATGGGGTTTCCCTCTCCTGCCCCTAGCACAGCAGGGGCAGCTGACTGCTGCACAGGATCATGGGACTTGGAGTCCAGTGTTGGACAGGAACTGTTCTGCTGATGTACATTTGTTTTATTTTGAAAGGCGGGGCTACACCGGTAGTGGGCGGGGTCAACTCGATAGTGGGCGGGGTCAACTCGATAGTGGGCGGGGTCATGTGAGTTACGTTTGTGAATGTAAATATTTTGACAGACTCACCTGGATTAATGTTTCCTCTTTTGTACTGTGAACAATCAGCTGATCATCATTAAACACCTGAACGCAGCACCACTTCCTGTCCGTGTGTCAGTGAACGCAGCACCGCTTCCTGTCCGTGTGTCAGTGAACGCAGCACCGCTTCCTGTCCGTGTGTCAGTGAACGCAGCACCGCTTCCTGTCCGTGTGTCAGTGAACGCAGCACCGCTTCCTTCCGTGTGTCAGTGAGACCCGTGTCAGTGAACGCAGCACCGCTTCCTGTCCGTGTGTCAGTGAACGCAGCACCGCTTCCTGTCCGTGTGTCAGTGAACGCAGCACCACTTCCGATCTAGCTACGGAAGCCCAAAGGGTCACAACATCAGGTCGTTGATGGTGTTGTCATGGTTACAGCTCATAAATATGATAAATGATTGGTTATAGATAACAAGTTTTATTCTGAAGGACCAAACTACATTTAGTCAGACAGACAGCTGCAGACAGACAGGTCATCTGGAGGCTGTCTGTAGTAAACCACGTTCATAAAAATAAACTTTATTATTGTTTGTAACAGATCTCGTAGGTATGATGTCAGAGTGAGTCGGCCACACAGTGTGTGTTACAGTGTGTGTGTAACAGTGTGTGTGTGTGTGTGTTACAGTGTGTAACAGTGTGTGTTACAGTGTGTGTGTGTGTGTGTGTGTGTGTTACAGTGTGTAACAGTGTGTGTTACAGTGTGTGTGTGTTTGTGTGTGTGTTACAGTGTGTGTGTGTGTTTGTGTGTGTGTTACAGTGTGTGTGTGTGTGTGTGTTACAGTGTGTGATACAGTGTGCGTTACTGTGTGTGTGTGTGTGTGTGTTACAGTGTGTTACATTGTGTGTGTGTGTGTGTGTGTGTGTGTGTGTGTGTGTGTTACAGTGTGTGATAGTGTGGGTGTGTTACAGTGTGTGTGTGTGTGTGTGTGTGTGTTACAGTGTGTTATAGTGTGTGTTACAGTGTGTTACAGTGTGTGTTTGTGTGTGTGTTACAGTGTGTGTGTGTGTGTGTGTGTGTGTTACTGTGTGTGTGTGTGTGTGTGTTACAGTGTGTGTGTGTGTGTTACTGCGTGTGTGTGTGTGTTACTGCGTGTGTGTGTGTGTTAGTGTGTGTGTGTGTGTGTGTGTGTTACAGTGTGTGATAGTGTGGGTGTGTTACAGTGTGTTATAGTGTGTGTTACAGTGTGTGTGTGTGTGTGTGTGTGTGTGTGTGTGTGTGTGTGTGTGTACGGTGTGTGTGTTACGGTGTGTGTGTTACGGTGTGTGTGTGTGTGTTACTGCGTGTGTGTGTGTGTGTGTGTTGGTGGTGTGTGTGTGTGTGTGTGTGTGTGTTACAGTGTGTGATACAGTGTGCGTTACTGTGTGTGTGTGTGTGTGTGTGTGTTACAGTGTGTTACATTGTGTGTGTGTGTGTGTGTGTGTGTGTTACAGTGTGTGATAGTGTGGGTGTGTTACAGTGTGTTTGTGTGTGTGTGTGTGTTACAGTGTGTTATAGTGTGTGTTACAGTGTGTGTTACAGTGTGTTATAGTGTGTGTTACAGTGTGTGTTACAGTGTGTGTGTGTGTGTGTGTGTGTGTGTGTTACGGTGTGTGTGTGTGTGTGTGTGTGTGTGTGTAATGATGACAGGTGAGCAGCAGGTGTATTCGGGGCCACACAGACTTTATTATATTCAGGTGTTAGATGAGTCCAACAGGTGCAGACAGGAAATAGAAAATCCTTCACATGTTGGAAGACTGAGTCTAACTGAGCGGCTCTAAACGTCCCACAGCTTCAGGACGGTTTCTGATTGGTTACAGTGAGGGGGGGTGAGGAGGGGGGTGAGGGGTGAGAGGGGGTCAGAGGTCAGAGGTTACAGTGACACAGTTCACTTCTGTTCGGGCATCAGGTCATCGACGCTCTCTCCAGCCTCCAGACGTTTCTCCATGTCCACCAGAAGTTTGACGCCGTCCACCACCATCTGGACCAGCTCCACCTCCGAGAAGCCCAGACGATCCGCGTTGGAGATGTCAAAGACTCCGCCCACCGCCGCTGTGTCCACGCCACCTGGCAGAGACACATAGGAAGTGATGTCAAGGGGACAGGTACACCTTTATTGAGAGGTGTTTCTGATTTTTTGTCCACCCTCCTTCATAAACAGAATGTTCAATTTACTGTCAACAGATCAATAATCTGATTGATTATAGACGGTTCCAGCGTTATCAATACTGTACAATAATAAACTGCAAATTATTCATTTAATTTAAAAAGGCTTTTAATTTGTAATTCCATTATTGCACCTCTACCTGTCTCTCTACCTGTCTCTCTACCTGTCTCTCTACCTGTCTCTCTACCTGTCTCTCTGTCACAGCAAGGAGAGCTCTGATTGGCTGTCTCTCTCTCTACCTGTCTCTCTCTTTACCTGTGCCTCTCTTCTGCAGCCTCAGTCTCTTCAGGATCTCTCCGAACTTGTCGTGCTTGCTGAGGTTGGGCAGTTTCACGTGGACTCCGGCTCTCAGTCCGGTCCCCAGGTTGGATGGACAGGTGAGGACGTAGCCCAGGTGTTCATTCCACATGAACTCGTGACCTCGCTCCTTGAACAAGCCCTCGATCTGTCAGAGAGAGAGAGAGAGAGAGACAGGTGGTCAGCTGATGACGTGGTTGCGGTGATGTCACAGTGAAACAGGAAGTGAGGGTCAGGGGTCAACCTTGGTGAGTCCGGTGCAGAAGCGGGTGAAGACCTCCCTCATGTTGCCTCCTTTCTGCATGCTGATGACACGCAGGTGGTCCTCCTCGTTCACCCACACCAGGAACGTCTTGTTGTCGTTGTGCCTGCAGGCAAGAGTGGATGGTTAAATACACACACAGGAAGTCCATCGTTGCTCCACAGCAGGTCGGAGGTCACTAAGGAGGTTAGGTCAGAGATCAGGTCAGAGGACAGGTAGGAGGACAGGTCGGAGGACAGGTCGGAGGACAGGTCGGAGGTCAGGTAGGAGGACAGGTAGGAGGACAGGTAAGAGGACAGATTTGAGGACAGGTCGGAGGTCAGGTCGGAGGACAGGTCGGAGGTCAGGTCGGAGGTCAGGTTAGAGGTCAGGTTAGAGGACAGGTCTGAGGACAGGTCTGAGGACAGGTCTGAGGACAGGTTGGAGGACAGGTCGGAGGTCAGGTCGGAGGACAGGTAGGAGGACAGGTTTGAGGACAGGTCGGAGGTCAGGTCAGAGGACAGGTTTGAGGACAGGTCGGAGGTCAGGTAGGAGGAAAGGTCGGAGGACAGGTCGGAGGTCAGGTCGGAGGACAGGTTGGAGGACAGGTCGGAGGACAGGTCGGAGGTCAGGTTGTTACAGGTACTGACCAGATGCCGCGGCCGTCGGGCCAGTCGCGGGCCATGCCAGACGCCAGCAGTAGTGGGGAAACGGGCTTATCAAACAGGAAGTGGTCATCGATCAGCTGCTGCTGCTCTTCCTCCGTCATGTTCTTCAGAGCGTAGTACTTCCCCTTCAGGTCCCCGTCCAGGAGGTCCAGACCTGCAGCGCACAGGAGGTCAGAGGTGACAGGTTGTAAACCCAACATCAGGACTGTAAGGTTGAGAGGGAGCAGCCTGACAGTCCTGACTCAGGGTTCACTAACACCATAAACTGTTGTAACGTTAATTATGGTATATAGTAAATAAATATATACAATATCATATAATATAATAATAATAATACATACACAATATAATAATATAATATGTAGGATTTAGATTTATGAAATAAGAAATATATAAGAAAAGAATATTGTTCAGGCGGTCCAGTTCAGTCCGGTTTAGTGTGATTTGAATATGAAAGAGGAGGTTTCAGAGGCTCATTAAGAGTCTCAGCAGGACCACAGCAGGCTCACACTTACGTAACACTGCATTCACTGACATGCTCACTCAGGCTCACTGAGGCATGATGGGAAATATCTAAATAAAGACAGCCTGAAGAGTGTTCATCCTCTGCCTTAGAGTGTCCCTGAATGCACCATATATATTAATATATATCGTGTAATATATATTAATATATAGTATAATATAGTGTAATATATATTAATACAAAGCGTAATATCGTGTAATATATATATTAATATATAGTATAATATAGTGTAATATATATTAATACAAAGCGTAATATCGTGTAATATATATATTAATATATAGTATAATATAGTGTAATATATATTAATACAAAGCGTAATATCGTGTAATATATATATTAATATATAGTATAATATAGTGTAATATATATTAATATATAGTATAATATAGTGTAATATATATTAATAGTGTTATATGTATTAATATATAGTGTAATATATATTAATAGTGTTATATGTATTAATATATAGTATAATATAGTGTAATATATATTAATACAAAGCGTAATATCGTGTAATATATATATTGATATATAGTATAATATAGTGTAATATATATTAATATATAGTATAATATAGTGTAATATATATTAATAGTGTTATATGTATTAATATATAGTGTAATATAGTGTTATATATATTAATATATAGTGTAATATATATTA